GACTTGTGTGTGTGGCCATGTCTCTGTGATGATAAGCACACAGCAATCGCGAACATAACGGTTACCAGCCAACTGTAATTCCAAATCGTCCGTTTTGTGTACCATGGATCTGGCGTTTGTAAGGTAGAGGCTCGGCAACGGAGGTTTGAGTGGCTGTTTCCTTAGTTTTAGCAGTAGCCCAGCCCTGCAACCTCGTTTTTGTTTCCTCTTGCGTCGCCGTCTGCGTCGCCTGGCAGACCTGATAACTATCCACGGGGATCCCGCTGGTCTCGCTATCTCGTCCGGAATGTTGTGAGTTCGGTGAAAGTCGCCGGAGATGGTCATCTTCAATTTGAAACCGATGTCCAGTAAGTCCAGACGACTGTATTGTTTCATAATGTGGGTAGACGAACGTACATATACGATAAACACAAAAGATAAACATAAAAAAAGCACTAATAGGGAGAGCTGTGAGCCTCTGTGTCTATGCGCGCCGCCATGGCAACATCAGGAAACCTCAGTAAGACGTGGTCGTCAGCATCCTGAATTTGTATGTTCAGAAACGGTGGTTACGGGCATGGTAATCCAGAATGGCTCTCATTCACATACCCCCTACTTTGGGACCAGGATGTACCTGGAGTAAAACCAGCATGAGGTTTCTGGAGAAGGACAACCCTTTTTACCCCCTTCTGTCTCAAGACAGAAATCTCTTCCAGGGGAATATTGACACATTTGCCTTGAGCCTGGGAAGAGATTTTTATTTTTATTTTGGAGGTACGACTTTAAATTGGAGCCCGAATCCTCACTTGATTGTTTGCAGCACCCATTTTGACTGTGTGCATGCCGCTCAGGCATCTCTGCGCATGTTAAGGGAGCATAGAGGCCATTCTGCCTGAAAAATTAGCTCATTCTTCCTTGCAAAACAGCTCAATCTCAGTGATGTTGGATGGAGAGCATTTGTGAACAGAAGTTATCAGTTCTTTCCACAGATTCAAATGGATTCAGGCCATTCTAACACCGGGATATGATTATATGTGAACCATTCCATTGTAGATATTGCTTTATGTTTTGGATCATTGTCTTGTTGGAAAATAAATCTCCATCCCAGTCTCAGGTCTCTTGCAGTCTCCAACAGGTTTTCTTCCAGAGTGGTCCTGTATTTGGCTCCATCCATCTGCCCATCAATTTTAACCATCTTCCTTGTCCCTACTGAAGAAAAGCAGGCCCAAACAGTGACGCTGCCACCGCCATGTTTGACAGTGGAAAAGGTGTGTTCAGGTTGATGAGCTGTGTTGCTTTTACGCCAAACATAAAGTTTTGCATTGTGGCCAAAAAGCTTGATTTTGGTTTCATCTGACCAGAGTACCTTCTTCCACATGTTTGGTCTGTCTCCCAGGTGGCTTGTGGCAAATGTTAAATTATATTTTTTATGGATATCTCTAAGAAATGGCTTTCTTCTTGCCACTCTTCCATTGAGGCCAAATTTGTGCAGTATACGACTGATTGTTGTCCTATGGACAGAGTCTCCCACCTCAGCTGTAGATCTCTGCAGTTCATCCAGAGTGATCATGGGCCTCTTGGCCGCATCTCTGATCAGTCTTCTCCTTGTTTGAGCTGAAAGTTTAGAGGGACGGCCAGGTCATCGTAGATTTGAAGTGGTCTGATACTCCTTCCATTTCAATATTATCGCTTGCACAATTCCCCTTGGGATGTTTAAAGCTTGGGAAATCTTTTTGTATCCAAATCCCACTGTAAACTTCTCCACAACTCGGACTTGCCTTTTGTGTTCCTTGGTCTTCATGATGCTCCTTGCGCTTTAAACAAAACTCCGAGACTATCACAGAGCGGGTGCATTTACACAGACTTGATTAATCATCAGTCATTTAGGTCAACATTAGATCATTCAGATATCCTCACTGAACTTCTGTAGAGAGTTTGCTGCACTGAAAGTAAAGAAGCTGAATAATTTTGCATGCCCAAGTTTTCAGTTTTTTTATTTGTTAAAAAAGTTTTAAATATCCAATAAATTTCCTTCCACTTCATGATTGTGTCCCACTTGTTGATTCTTCACAAAAAAAATCAAAATTCCATATCTTTTTATTTGAAGCCTGAAATGTAGCAAAAGATCGAAAAGTTCAAGCGGGCTAAATATTTTCGCAAGGCACTGTATTTAGGGGGAGAAACACACATGGCAGCAGCTGAAGATGAAGAATAAAAATATAAATCCCTCCAAGCATGAGCAGACAAGTGTTTTTCTTTTACTGGTTTATTTGAAGTTGCTCTTGGTCTCTCCAAATACACTGTGAAAACTAAATAATGTTGACAAAAATAAACATTAATGTGACAAATAATCACTTGCAGACCATATGAAATAATATTTACAAAGTAAACAAATAAATGCGTCCACTACCTCCACCACTGACAGAGGCCTATTTACAGTCATGGAAATAAATATTTCTATAATAGTTTCTTTCCCACTTTGATGTTCATTTTAATTGCTAAATGTTTAAATGTACATTTGCTTGAACAAATACAATAACAACAAAAAAAAAGCTCATAGAAGTTTTTTCTGTGATCATTTTCTTAAGTGACTAGTTTTTTTAATATCAGCATATGCCTGTTACAAAAACAGTTCACAAGAAGAATATTCATACACATACATATATGTAAATTATGTGAGAATTTAAACTAAGAGCTGATCTATGACATTTTTCCTCTTAAGGCTCGACAAGAACTGAATCTCTGTCACGTAAAATGGAGGGAACGTCTGGCAGTCTGTTGAGGTGGGCACGCCATTGTTTATTCTCCCAGATGTAGGGACAAAAACAAAAAAAAACAAAACACAGGAGACCTGCAGAGCAGGGATGGCAAGACATAGAGAGCGTTCGGGCAGGGAGCCCTGGTAGGCTCGCTGGGGTCATTCCTTGGAGGAAAAAGCATGAGCAAAAAACAGTTATAACAGAAGGAAAAAATACACAATGCAAAAAACATCAGTCGTAGTCGGGTTGTACATCAGAGCACTGACTGAATATCCCAGCATCCATAATTGCTTAAATTCTTCCATCCATTCTTCCATTCTTGCTTCAATAGCTGTGACACAGTTTTGCTTAAAACAGCTTTAACGTATTTCACAGTCCAATAATTTATCCACTTGTTTTTAGCATATTCATACAAGTATGAATATACAGTGGGGGAAATAAGTATTTGACCCCTTGCTGATTTTGCAGGTTTGCCCACTTACAAAGAATGCTTATTTTTCCTCATCAGAGAGTTATCAATCTTTATAAATTCATATGACGTGATTTTCTGAAATTTTCTTTGGGATTCTGTCTTTCACTGTTAGAATGTACATATAATTAAAGTTATAGATCGTTGCATTCTTTGTGATGGGTGCATGATGACAGGGGAGTTATGTTAAATATTCAAAATATAAATATTCAAAAGATACAAAAATGAACTTTTGCATGTGCATTTGTAGGAAATAAAGAACAAATTAAATTTGTATTATGTTTTTATTGTTGCTATGGTAGTGATGATAATGACTTAAAGTGAGAAATTACCCTGGTAGATGGTGTCTCCCACTATTTTCCCACCCTGGGTGGCCGGCAGGTGGATGGAGTCGTCATCAGGGTCTTCAATTTGTAGGGCAGGGTGCTGTTCTCCTTTAATAGTGGCAATATTGTGAAGAACAACACAAACCACAGTTAAATCAAAGACCCTCTCCAGTGGTCATCCAGAGGTGATGCAGGCAACTGATTACGTTGGGAAATCCTAAAAGGAAATAAAATTACTAATCCAAGTCTGAGGTTGAAATACAATGTCATTAAGAGAATAGAATTTCAAATTAATCATAGACTGCAGGTTATCACCCTAGCCTCACAGCAAGAGGGTCAGACTGTCTTATAATAAGACTTTTACCATTTAATAATGCTGATTATTTACGGCTTTTCAGTCAGTTTGAATGGGATCAGATGTAAGATAAGCAAACACCATATGTACATTGATTATACACTCTGCTGTAATTTTTACAATATAATTCTGGCAACCACAATTTTTTTCTGTAAAAAGCAGGCATTTTTTCTTACAGTGCATTTCACAAGCAGGTTTAATGAAAAGTCTTGAGTTTGTTAACTGTGAATTAAGAGAAAGGTTAATCAATCCCTTTCTCTGCACCAACCACTATCTTGTGTTCAAGTATTTATATTTCCAGATCTGCCATCCTAATCCGACAGACAAAGTACATCATTTCATTTATTTTTGTCAGGAAGTTGATTGAATACACTTCTTAAACAGGTAGCTAGGAATACAGAAGGATGTTAAAACATACAATTGCATATGAATTTCATAGAATGACCCTAAAATGACTAAAAGCTGTATTAAGCTGTACTATGTCAAAACTATTGATGAAAGACCTTAAGCAATTTCAGTTATTATTAAGGAAACCATTCAGAATTGGCTAGATATCAGCTCTTCGTTTCAATCGTTATAGTATACAGGTATACGTATGAGTATGAATATTCTAATTGTGAACTATTTTTGGGGCATCTTTAAAAAAAAATCCATCCATCATCATTACCACTTATTCCCTAATGGGACGGCGGGCTCTAAGCACACTCACATTCACTCGTAAGGGCAATTTGGAACATCCAATCAACCTAACATGCAGGTTTTTGGACTTTGGGAGGAAGCCAGAGAACCAACACTGACACCCGTAAACTCCCAAAAAGTTCAAGTTAAATAAATTAAAGCCAAAAGGGCACCATTGGCAACAACAGTTTAAGGTTGTGTGGACTTAGTCTTCTAACTCAGTGTGCATTCTATACACAGTAAACTAGACTAGCACGTGGAAAACCGCACAAAAAGGCTGTGAGGTACAATGGTATTATCATTATTTGGACTCCAACAGTATGGCAGCATACAGCATGCAAGACAAGCATTTGTCTCTCTGTAGGATTAAGAGTTTAAATACATTAAGTAGGAACTGAAAACATATTAGGGATAGGCAGGGACAATAATAAAAGTCAAGTAAACCTCCGGTCTGGCAGGTGGCGGTAATGCCGTTTCACGTTAGCCACCCTTCATGAAAACATAAAAGAAGATCCTGCGCCAAGGGAGTTTAACCCCCAAGATGGCGTCAACGCAGTTAACGGACGAGGAGCTTTTTTCCCAACTGAAATGCTTTGGTTTTACTCCAGGGCCAGTTACTGAGAACACTCGTCCGGTGTATTTGAAGAAATTGAAGAAGTTTCGTGAAGAGCAAAAACAGAAGGGGTTGAAACAAGGTAAAAACCGTGGCAGCGGGGCCATTAGCAACACTAGCACTAAGTACTCGGCGGTAACAAGGCCAGTTAGACATGACGTCACGCACCCGAGCACTAGCCGAAGACCGGGCCGGAAGTCTTCCGTCCTCGGCTTTAGCTCCGACGAGTCTGACGCTGAAATTCCAATGAAAAGAAAGGGCCTTGGTCATTCCGGGGGAGCAAACCCGCGCACTGCTTGCCAACAGCAGCCGAAGATAAAACCGAATGAGGCTACTAGGAGAGCGTATGACGCCGATGCTTTCCGGGACGGAAATTCATCCCCGATTTCAGACCGACAGAAAAATGCCTCATTGAGTTGGGGAGTTGTTGAGAGTTCCAAGCATTACGATGAATCAGGGGATGAAGATAACAGTGATGAAGAACCTAAGAATTCACACTCTGTAAATGGTCGTGGGGCGTCTCGCCTGAACAGTGGGAAACAAGCTGGAGAGTACTCAGACTCGGATGAGGAAGTTGCGGGCCCAGGCGCTAGAGATCGGCAACGGAATAGATTGGAACATTGCCGCAGCCTTTCAATCGAGCCGTTCTCTTGCCATGCAGATTATTTGCCCTTTAACGTCAAAGAGAGAAATACTTTGGTTTATCCATCCGGGACTCGAAACATGATGAGAAGCCAAGGGGAGGATGAAAAGCTGGACGAATCAAAAGGACGGGACTTTAACTCACCGGGAAATTCTCGGGGCCACATATTTCTCAAGAAATCTTACGTGTCCCACTCTGAGGACCATAAAGGAAAGGCCGGGGAAAACAACCACGTTTACGATGAAGACGGAATACTCAGAAATAATAGCACAAGTGCGCTTAGCGGTGGGGTGAGACAGCGCTTTTCTAGCTACGGTAGCCCGTGTCAGATATACCGGGGGAACCACGCTAATCACATCCCTGCTCCAAACCACTCAATACTAAAGAAAAAGCTATCAGTACCTGACGATGAGTTGCTCTTGCAATTTAAAAGGGAAGAGCAACCGTCTTCTGGTAGCTTTAGCGCCCATTACCTGTCCATGTTCCTACTCACGGCAGCCTGCCTCTTCTTTTTGCTGCTTGGCCTCATGTACCTTAGAATGAGGGGCTCTGGATCTTCTGGAGATGGCGTAGGTAAGCTTCTAACAAAATATTGTTGCTGTATTAACATTTTTGTTATTGAAAATGAAAGTTGTTGGCATTTTCCTCATCCATTTTTTTCTCAAATCCCAATATAATTGAGCATTATCAGTTTCTTGTAGCAACGGAACATATTTGTGTAAATTGTCTTACGATTTTTTTGTGCAGCTTTTTAAAAATATAGTAATACAATTTCTATTGATGTCTAAGGACTTTATTCTATAGTTATTATTATTACAATCTTAAATATTCCTTGTGTAAACTTTTGTGGTAACCTGAAAAACTGTTCAGACGGTATACTGTAGCTTATAATAACATACAAATATAAACATTAAAATCATATTAAGGAAAGGACTAGTCAGGAAGTGGATTGGAGGCATTAGGATTCTCAACATGGAGTCTTGCTTAGCCCATTCCAGTGATCTGAAGAGTTCTGCTATATATTTGCACAATATTTAAATTATTTTTAACGAAGGTTTTTCTAAAATTTGGGAGGCGCTGTCTTAAGTGCGCTGTCATGTTTAATCTGTTTGCTGGTTTGCTGATTGTACTTCATTCAGTTTATAAACTTGATTAAACCAGCTCCTTCTCTTTTAAACAGCTAGGATGGACTTTCTTATACTCTTCTGGTCCTTATCTTTTGAACTTCTTTTGTTACTGTCTGAGATAGTTTTAGTGTCTTCCCTGTACCATGCCCTTATGTTCAAATGATGCCATAAGCAAATACCATCCAACTTCTACGTAATTTTTTCTGGGTAAAAGTAATATTATGTATCAGCTCAGTTTGCGTAAGTATAACCAATTAATAACATAACTGCATATACTTTTTAATACTTTCCCCTTCTTCTGTTCCAAAATGAATAGCTTTTTTTGGGGGAAGGCATGAACATGCTGAAAAATCAAGAAGTTTTTCAGTATTAAAAAAACTCACACAACTTTATAAACTTATCCAACTGTAAATTTAGAAAGGCTGTGCATATTGGATGCCCCTGTAGACAGCCATACAAGTCCCTTTGAATATGGAATTGATCACATTTGTGAGGTTGAAAGTTAAAACTGTAGCGAGTGCATGTGTTCCTTTATTTTTACAACTATATTGATTTGAATAGTTTTTCACCATAGATAGAGGGAGGGAGCGTAATGCCCCTTCTCTGTATGCATCTCAAAAACATATCTTTGGTGGAAGTAAAGGCATGCAATTGAAAGAAAAATAGGAAAGGATAGCAACTGAAGTTTAAACGGCTGGGGTTAACAGTTCCTTCAATTTTGAAAGATTAGTTTTTGTTGGTTTGGTTCTTCAGTTTCCTTTGCTGTTGGCCGAATAAACCATCAGATCAGCTGCAACATAGTTAATCTTATTTGATGGAGAAGATAATTAAATAACATTAGAATTATTTTAATCTTAAGACTTCTTATTAAATTTAATGATGTTGTTCTCTTGGGTAAATCATTTGTCTTTTGGTAGAACCTATTTAAATGTGAGTTTTCCCAGTGCTGCATGTATGTTTGGAAAAATGTATAGCTGGTATTGGGGAAGTTACTCTAACATGCCAGTAGCCTCCTGGAGGCGTTGTGGGCCTAACTAAGTGAAACACTGATAAAAGGGTGCACTGGTCTGTATAGGGATCATTATATTGGAATTTTAATGTTTGGTTTTATGGAATGATTGGCTGAATTTGGTCTATTCACTTACTTTTTTATTGTAGCACAAGTTTCTTGTATTTACTTGAAATTCACAGCACTCGGCAAATATGCCTGTTGTGCAGAGAGAAGCCACTGTTGTCATGGGGGCCCAGTGGATACAACATGATTGACACTTTTCCACTAGGGGCTGGCCCCACTTAAAAGTTACTAATTTATCAGTTGGGGTTCCATCAGGGCTCAGTAGTTGACAGCAGATTGCTGGGCGCTGATTGGCCAGGGAGTCTCATGATTAGACGCTGACTCATTCACATGTTCCTGACACAAAAAAAAAACTGCAACAAAAAGGACCTGATTTAGAAGTGCCATGTGTGTCCATTTTCTATGGATCTAAATCACACTTTAAAAAAGTGCAGTTTTCGTTTATTTTGTAAAGGTTAAAAGAAAAAAAAAGACTCAATACTCTAATTGAGGGAATGAAGCTCCAGGGCAGTTTCAGACCCATGACTTTGCACAACAGTAATTAAGCTTTAATGTTAACCAAACCTCTCAAATGTTGTTTTGTGACTGTTTGTCAGTGTTTTTCCAGAAAAGCTTTGGGTTTTGAATGCCGTTACTGGTTACAAGCAACATTGGTTCCACTTTACATTATAAATAAATGTCTACATTGTTTTTCGTGGGAATTTATTTTTTTATTTTATTTTTTGCACGAAAGCAAGACATTTAAAATGAATAATTAAGTTGTCAGCAGTTATTCGTTCAAAAATGTTTACTGTAACTTAAATATATATATGATCAGAGTTTTGGTATTATTGGGTGGGCATTAGTTTTTAAACAATTTTTAAACAAGTCTTGTCTTGTTTAGATTTTGTCATAAAAAGAGTATGAGGAGATTCATTTTTGTTTTTAGGTGATATTGGAATGGCAATTTGTGGTATTTGTACGTCACATTGAAAGGTGAACAGATTGTCAAGCTAAAGATGGTTATAAACAAGGCTATTGCAACATTTTTTTTTAATCCAGATTTCTATTCATATTTCTAACCATCAGTTGAAATGCGAACACAGAGAGAGCTTTCTCTGTACAGGACTTTAAAAAAAAAACTGATGGAAAGAATTAGCTTTGCTCTTGATGGAACACTCTTATCCATCATGACAGTTCCTGAAAGGGGAACCCCAATATATTGAATAAAGTCATCAAAATATGCTACTCACGCAACTGAATTTTTAAATATTATATGTACGGTATATGCTTTTGTTTAACAAACATGTTATTTTTGTCTCTTTTCTCCCTATTTATAGTTAAGAGCCACCCATTTGGCAGTGAGTTTGATTCCCTATATGTAAGTATAAATGATACACCGAACAAAGATAAAATATCTTGCTTCAAACCCCTAATTAGTGGGTTAGTTTTTACACAGCAAAGGTGGTGAAGATTTCCTGCTCTGGGGCTAAGTACTGGAAAAAGTTAAGTTGCCCTGAATGCCTCTTATAGGCAGGGCTTCTTTTTTATTTTATATGACTTGAGTGGAACTCTCCAGGACACATTTGTTATTTGTACACACTTGTGTAGACTGAAAGCCTGTTGCTAACTGGTGTAGTAGTGTCACCTAGCATATTTTAAATTTTAGACCCTTTAAAGCAATGAACGTCCAATTTAATTATTTCTGTGATCATAAATGCTTGAAATGCCTAATACACAAACCCACACCCTGGTGTAGTCGATTTATAGTTGATGACTGCAGTGTCATCGATTGTTGTATCGTGCTTGTATTGCATATGGATGACGACACTTGCCGGTTAACCCCTTTTTCTGCTCGGCTGTAATTTTTAATGGAAAACCACCTAAACCCTTTGCAGCTGAGCTGGGCCAAACCGTGTAATGTTATAATGGAAAAACGCTATTAGTGGAAAATAAACCAGGCTAAAGTGTGGCTACTAAGGCAATGTTCCCACGGCAGCCTGAAGTGACGGTCGGTCACATTCCCAGTTATATATAACTAAACACACGCCTGTCAAACGTAGTGAGCATGCTCTATGTTTGTGGTCCAGCTTTTCATAAAATGCACAGGTGACAGTCCATGGCTGCTTCGGATGTTTGTTCTTTAGTCTGCTTGGCCCGGAGGCCAGGAACGTTTATATCTGCGTTCAGCCATTTATTTGGAAGTCACTATGGTTGTTGTACAGGCACAGGTCACATTTGGAAAGATCAGTAATGTAGCTGATGTAAGACAATCCAAGTGGTCTGGGTCACATTTGGAAAAATCCTAATTGTGTTATTCAGACTGTCAGATACAGGCAGCAGGGGGAAAAAAATCGGGTTTAGGTCACTTTAAGTCTGATCCCACACGGACATTAGCATCTCCTAACCCACAGGTCTGTGTCCTAACCATTAAGTTGTTCTAAGAGTAAATCCCTGTTCAACATTAGGCAACTAAGTAAGTAGGCTAAACAACTTTAAACTTTCCTACATGCTCTGATAGGCTGGTATCGGTGTCGTACAGTATCGGTATCAGATCGGAAGTGCAAATACAATATCGGTATTGGATCGGAAGTGCAAAAAGCTGGATCAGGACATCCCTATTTTATGTCAACTGTATTTTTGTTGTTTGCAGGACAAAGAAGAAAAAGATGTGATCTTAAAGCTCCTTGTCAGTCTTCACGACCACTTGGCCATCATTGCTGGTAGCTTTTCTTCACTTGCTGATCATTGGCATATCTTTTTTGTATAAGGCGAACATTCGTAATCTGTGTCGCCAAGTTGATAATATAACAATATGATAAAACAGTGTAAATGATTTTCTACTCTATAGACAATCATTCTACCACTGTTATTTTATTCTATGATATTATTTATTAGTTGATAGATAAAGGGTTCTTCATGTTTTGACAAAAAAAAAGACATTATTAGAAGACTGACTGTGTGAGGACCTTTTTTCTTCTCATGTAAACATTATTGATGATCTGTTTTCTAAATTTAGTACCAATACAACTAATTTTCACAGTATACCAAATATTATTAGGAATATATGTGTTTGGTCTCATTGGTGATGTACTGTGAATATAGGACGGCATGACTGTGGAGACCATCAGTATCCTAACAGGAGTCTATCCATAGAGGAAGCTTCTGCATATTTACTGGTAAGTTCACACATTAATGCTGAAGTACACAAACAGATGCTTAAATGAATACATATAACCATTAAATATGTAAATGCACTAAATTTGCATACTTTAAAGATGAACTTCTATTTAAATCCTTTTAAAATGTATTTTGTTATTTTTTATTAAATATTTTTGTGTTATCTGATTCATACTACCAGACAAAAGTTTTGACTTTCATCAATGTATTTCAAGATGATAACAACTTTTAAGCAGATGGCAAAGTTGTGTGGTGGTTATCTAAACTGTTTTTTTTAAGGTCCAAAATCTGGAATTCAAGAATCTTCTTCATACTTCTCTCGAGTGGATCATTCGGGCGGACCAGGATGTTGGAATAAGGTAATGATACTAGTCTGAAAAACATATAGTAAGTGACATTATCAGATGGACAATGGATTCAAACTTGGTGTTGCTGCTTGCTTTGTGTTGTTGTTTTGGGGATTATAAATACAAACTAAATTTTATTGACAAACAGAGATATTTGTGTTTTATTCTATTTTCTAATCATTCATTACCTGCCGATTTTAAATAAATAAATAAATCATTTTAAAAATTCCGAGGGGTGGGGTATTGTGTAACAAGGAAGCGCGGTGCTTAATGGTACAAAGGTACTCCTATTGAACCATTTTTTGTTACCACAAAGGAAAAATGTTTGTTTCAATTCACATTTAAAGTTTTTCATTGAATCAAAAGAATTAGCTTTACAGACACAGTAAAAGGATAACCCATGCAGCCTTACTTGAACAAAAAAATCAGTAAAAGTCCACACAAATCTAAATGTTTTTATTTAGAAAATGTACATTTTATTTATCCAAGTTACAAGATTTTTAACTTTTCAGCCTTTTTTTAATACAATCCCTATGATTGCACTTGTTTTCATTCTTGCCTTGCGTTTCAAAAGATATATAAAGACATTTTTGGCATTTATTTATAAATTGCGCTGAATGTTAACATATCGACTTTGTTATTATATTTTACAATACAATTGCATGCATTGGATTGTATGTAAGCATTAAAAAAAAAAAAAAAAGTTAAAAGTACATTGCCACACAGCTTCAGTCACATACCACGTCCGCTGTGTGTGCACGTCTCTGTAACGTAAGCTAAACATCTAATCACCTAATCACCTAATCATCATCTAATCAATCATTATGTCGCTGTAAACTGTACAGTCGACAATGCAGAAAGAGTGAGACTCCAGCCCTGAATTCAACAGTTGGTGTTTTATTTTATTTTATATTTAATTAGTATAAAGTAAATTAGCAGTTCTAACATGTATATAGGTTATTTTATTTTACTCACTTTTTGTCTCCCCCACAACTTTTATTCGTCTCCTCTAAAGTTCCATTGCAGCAACTAGAGCATGATAAGTTAAGCAAATTGCTCTTGGAGAAGGGATGTCCCGATCCAGCTTTTTGCATATCCGATTCCGATACTGGCCTATCAGAGCATGTCAGACTAATGTTGAACAGGGATTTACTCTTATAACAACTTAATGGTTAGGACACAGACCTGTGGGTTAGGAGATGCTACTGTCCGTGTGGGATCGGACTTTAAAAAAAACTGGATCGGGAGTCTGGATCGGCATTTTCTCATGGCGGCCTATACGCATTTTTTTGCAAATATCAGCGGCCGATCCGATCCAAATATCGGAGCGGGACAAGCCTACTATGGAGTCACTTGGCAACCCCTGTCGACTTATAGGACAATAAATAGCGACTTTCCTTACTGAGTAGTTCTGTCAGACTTGTTGCAAAATACTATCACTTGGTTGACGAAACGGTTGCATTCTGTTGTTCACTCTTATGTTTAATAAGAGTAATTAAAACAAAGTAAAGTTACATTTTGCTTTGATGTGAATTCAAAATCATGGTATTGTATCTCAGCTAGGGAGGGATGTGACTACACTTTTGTCTGTCATGACCTATGCTATGTGAAGTTGTGTTGTAGAAAAGGAGGACAACACGGTGCTAGTGGTGTCTATACAGCTGAAAATGAGGAGCCCTGTTTTGTTAAACAGAGGTGGACAGACATAAAAGCAAACAAATGTTTAAAGGGAGTAAGAATAGGAGAGAATCACTTCATTCTCACTTGAGGTACAAAAAAAAAAAAAGAAATCTGTGAGAATGCTCTTCCGTCATTGAACACCACTCTGAATTTGCAGGCTGAACGGGCAAGTAGCCGATGAACCTGTGACTGATGTGTCTGAGATCTCTTGGCTAGAGTCTACACATCCCAGGATGCCCTTCACATGCCGCTTCCGCCGAGCCTTACTCACAGTCATGAGCAAAGTCCTTGTTGTTGCAGTTGGTAAGTAGACGACATCATGAAAATCAACAATTTGCATCACAGACCAGTTCCACAGATAAGCCCAGACAGCCCTTGGTCAAAAACTGACAACTGACAAGAAGAATGTTTATCTGATGTCCATGTAAATTGGTTTAGATGCCCAGCTGTCATTAATAGAAAAAAAAAAGAAGTAACATTTGCTTGTCTATCCATTGTAAAATTATGCCTGTGCTTTCTATGAAGGTGGCTTTGTTCAGTCAGTCCACCTGGTCTACATTAATTGTACTCTAGTGATCTGGTTAAGAGTAGAGTGATCCACTTTTGGGTCTCAACTAAGTTAATCAAACATAGGCAACTTGGGGAAATACGTGCAAAAATTGTGGGATGGCGCCATTACCTCATCTATTTACTTTTGGCATACTTGTGGGCATATTTGTCCACGTTTAATGTTTTGCAAAATGCCCACCAAATTTTTTAGCCTGACTACGGTGTTCTATAGTTGCTCTGTTGGCATTATCTTGTTACAGGCTAATGCATTTTAGTCACACTGGGCTGCTCTGTAACCTCAGGGTCCTCATAAATTCAAGACTTTGGCATTGCTTTATGTGCTGCATTAATTATATTATTTATGCAGCACATCAATTAGAAATGAGATAAATTATATTTTATTAATGTATTTTATTTGTGTAAAGAGAATGTTGGAATTGAATTTTGATTAACTGTTTTTGAACCAGTCAATCATTTCTTTGATTGTAGTTATTGGCTTTGTGTGGAGTGTGGTCCGCTACGTAAAATACAGCTGGAAAAGAGAAGAGGAGGAGACAAGGCAAATGTACGACATGGTGGAAAGGATCATCGGTAAGGAACATGGCACAGATAAAAACATGTAATAGTGAGAATGCCTACTGGCATTCTCACTCTTCTTCTGCGTCCAACTACGCCCACAGTTGTCAGCCTATTTCAACAAATAAGAAATCAAAATGTTCAGCTCCTTCAGCATTATGCAGCTATGACTTTTGGTGTTCAAATCTTTTCAACTTTTTAAGTTATTTAACTTGTTCCGCTTTTATTTTCTCTAATTGAAATGAATGGAGTCAAAAGCATAGCTCCATCTGCTGGTCACTGGCATTTAAGCCCCTTTAAATTCTTGTTATGTATTACTATACAGCCTCTCTGACTGGGGTGTAGCTCAGTGGTATAGTGTTTGATTTCAGTTTGAGAAGTTGCTGGTTCAAATTCCATTAGTCTTCCACTTTTCCGTTCTTCTAGCCCTTTTGCCATTCTTCTTCAGGTCTTCAGTTCTATGTCTTTTTCAGCTTTTCTTTGGCTTCCTGCATTCAGCATTTGGCATTCTCACAGCTGTTTTACTTGCGCTTTCATTACTATGATGGTTCACTGTATCAGATCAAAGTAAATGAGGAATACATGAAAACAAAGGGTCTTTAGAATCAACTATGTCATTGTTCAGATGTACTGAGAAACCATGGTGAGGCTTGCCAAGAAAACAAGGACCTGCAGCCCTACTTGCCAATTCCACATGTACGAGATTCCCTTGTCCAACCACAGGACAGGTAAGTACAAACGGTGCCAATTCCTGCACTTCAGATGTTTTGAAAAAAAATGTAATTTTGTTTTCAGTATTTTTGTTTGACGAGTCATTTGTAATGAAAGCTATATCTTGTTGTTCTGCTTCTAAATATAACCTCAAATAACATTTACTTTATATCTTTCAATAATTGTAGCAACAGTGTTAAATGCTCTGCATTAACAGCCTTAACAGCATATTGTTCAGTCAGTTTACCTTTTAAAGGGCTTTACAAAATTGTCCACATTGACTTATTTATAGACATCTGTACAACACTGTCAAAATTATGGTGTTAAGTCTGTGTTTGCAGTATTATTATGGGGTTCCATAAGACACATTGTAACTGTAAACAACCAAGCATTCAATTTGAAAGTACATCTCTCCCTTTTAAGATGCATCTAACATTCCAGATATATATGGAAAGCTCATGTCCTTCATCTATGTAAAGTTGCATTCAATAATTTCAGTAGTTTGGTCAAAAACAAAGCATGATATCTCTATATCGCATTTTGTAAAAGACTGAGCTATTTGAGGGGGATCTTAACACTTTTGATGCGTGAGCTTTCACAGCCATTGGCCATTGATGGATGTTGGTAAAAGGAAGAGTCCTACATTGTGTCAGATAATTGATGATGTCAACATATTCTGCCTGGCTTTTGAGATCAGTGAAATATCTCAAGTGAAAGACTAGATAACGGCTACCCAAAGCCAACTTTAGTTTACTTTCCTCATTGAAAACTACATACCACACTCAAATAAGCAACTATGTTAAGTTGTACTACTTGAAATAAGAGCAAAATTTTGATTACATCAACCTAAATCCGTCTTTGATTTAAGCCTTTATTTTTTCAGTGTCGATCATACTTGGGGAAAAAGATATGTAATCCATTTATTCTGTTTATGTCCGGTAAAGAATAAGTGTCAGAAGTTTGTTTTACAGGAAGAAAATGAAGAAGATTTGGGAGCGAGCTGTTAGCTTTCTTTCAGCTAATGAGTCCAGAATTCGAACAGAGACTCAAATGATTGGTGGAGCAGATTTTCTGGTTTGGAGATGGACCCAGCCTGCCCTCACTTGTGATAAATCCAACGCAATGCCCTCCAAAATGTGGCAAGGAAAAGGTAATGCTGATTTTAAGATTATAAAAATTTGGGTCTTTTACCTGTTTCAATGGTTAAATGTCATAACTTTGGTTTTCTTCCATAATACTCCCTGAAATTGAGTAAAGGGATAAGAATCCCTTAATAAGGGAAATTGTTTGAAACCGTTTTCTAAATAAACTCTGTAATAATATTTTAACATACATGTAATATAGATGAACTTGCGAAAATATATTGTAACTCTTGCTTTTATATATTACCTATGCAGACACTTTAGCCAATTCCTCTGCAGTACTGTCTGTGTAGCTGACTGCACAACCCGGGGTCTCAGTTGTAAAAGTTGTGTACACCCAAAACGGGGCCTGAAATTGGCATGCGTAGTTTTTCACGCAAAGGTGTTATATACTATCTTGCCGGGAGAATATGCAGTCCCTGACGCAAACTGACCCATGCGTACGCTTATTTTCGAAATTGGGATACTTGCGATGCAGATGGTAAGCCACACTACGTCATGATTCTTCTCAGGCACTCCTTAGCAAGCTTTAATCAGAGATCGATTTATCACAAACATTCAAAGCGGCAATGTTAGTCATGCTTACGCTAGTGGGCCACAACTATACATAAGGGGAAAAAAGCCTATAAGTCACCATAAGAAATACAACTCAAAATAAAGTCACCTTCTGAAATTAAACTGTCCACATTTCATCAAGGTATTCTCACTGTTACATGCCTCTCCTTGATCACCAGGGTTATGTGTACTATACATCAATAACTAAATTATGACAGAGTATGAGGGAATCATACTGACTGCTATAAACATTGAAATATAGTGGTGACACCTCTGTAATAATGCACAAATGGATATAATGGCACTGCTGAGATACCTTGCAAATGAGACAATTGGGAGGGTATACATTTTAAGGGATTGCTGTAATTTCCTGGCAACTGGCTCTGAAATATAGTTTATGTTACTAGAAAATACACCTTTTGTTATTAAGCTCCAACGTAAGTACCATGTGGAAATCCAAAGATTGAATTTGTGAATTTAATTTAAAGGTTCTCCTTCTGCCAATCAGCCGTAACCTGATGTCTTGTGAACTTACTCATGAACAGTAAATGAAAGCACATTTTGGGACAGAAGCCAATACATTTAATGACAAGAGCTTGCTTGAGATTGTATTATTCAAAGAATATCAATATTTAACCGCAGTGAAACATACTAGTTGGTTTGCTCCAATTTGTGACATTTGAACAGTTATTTACATCTAACAAACTTTTTAACATGACCCCAAGGTATATTTTTAATTGCTTTCAAACATTAGAAATATGAGGATGAGTTTAAAGCTTCCCATTCATGTGGTTTTAACAACTGTGATCATTCGCGTCGAACACTCACCTGCATTCCCACCCACAGTTGTTCATTATTTTACTATTATTATTATTGCATTCTTGTAAGACTCTGATAAAGGTTTGTTATGAAATAACATTGGTAATGGATGTCACAACCAAAAAATAATAAAAGATGGAACACAACCCCAAATTTACAGACCAATTTTAACTCACTGGGGTGCTAGTTTTGTATTATGTGCTGGAATGTTTTTTTTTCAGTGTAGAAAGCCAGTGTCAACTGTGATTTATAATCATCACTGACTGACATTAACATTTGCTTCCTTCAGAGAAGATTCAAGGTCATTTATAAGAAAATATATTCTTTTTTTTAAATACAGCTTTCCCTCTAGACCGGAGGAATTCACCTCCTAACAGTCTCACTCCCTGTCTGAAGATAAGAAATATGTTTGACCCTATAATGTGAGTACTTCTATTATTTCCTTGATAATTAACTTGTTAAGATCTTTGAAACGAAACAACATCCTTTAAATTTCTGCTAATATTGTTTTGTGTACTTGTGCTTTAAGGGAGGTTGGGGAGAACTGGGATTTAGCCATCCATGAAGCCATCCTGGAGAAGTGCAAAGACAACGAAGGCATTGTCCATATTGCTGTGGACAAGAACTCACGCGAGGTATGATTTGAGTAATGGATACAGTTTATCATAAATTATGTCAGCTGTTTGTTTTGTTTTTTGTAAAATGCAATGGTTTGTCTCCACAGGGTTGTGTATATGTGAAGTGTCTTACTGCAGAGCACTCTGGAAAAGCTTTTAAAGCCCTTCATGGCTCCTGGTTTGATGGTAAAATACACACAATATAAAAACACATATTTACATTAAACAAAAAGTGAGGAGTTTTGACATTTCAAAACAGAAGTCACAGAAGAGTTAAACAGAAGAGTTAAAAAATACAATTCACTTCCTGATATGAATGACTTACAACTTTACTAATCTGTCTAACATTGCAATAATGATTGCACTGGTGCAATTATTTTACCCTGAAAAATTACAATTTCAATAATTAAATTGAAAAGTATGTTATTAATTATATAGCATATTTTGAAAAAATGACAAAGGGCTTACAATGAAATACAAGTGACATGAATAAATCTTTGTGTATATATATATATAAAAAGCTAATTAAATTTAACAAGATTTTTCAGCTGCCTATAAAATCAATCAAAAGTCCAAAAAAGGGAAGTTGGTGCTTGACCACGTAGACATCTTTGTCTAAAAGGGGGTGCCAGTGCAACTGAGTTGGCAACGGAGTCATTAAAGAAAAAAAAAATTGAATATTTTTAGAAGCAGTACACCCTGAAGATGTTCAATTGAATATATAATTACAATAATCTTGGAAATCCAAAGATTTTTAGTTATTATCTCGACATTTTAAAAGAAATATCCAAAACAACCAAATAGGCAGTATTTCTTTTTTTGACATCTTTCCGTTTGTCCTGTCCCGCAAGTATGGTGCTCTGGCTGCTGTAGTTATGCCAATGACATTTTCTAGCACTGTGACCACCACCTTTACATGATGGAGGGGTTTGTGTGTCCCGCATGTTCTAAGAGCTTTGTAGTCGGAGGCTTTATGCCCCTGGTAGGCATAGGTCTTACATGCCTCATGCTTAGTGATGGTTGCAGAGAGGAAAGGCAGGCAGACACGGTTGTAAAGGGAGAAAAGGAAGGAGTGAGCCCAATTGCTCCCTATCTCAGCCAGAAAGGGCTTGAGAAGGCCAGAGGTTAACAAGACCAAGCCCCATCTTCAGTCAACCAAGCAGCACGCAGTTGCACAAACACCCCCTACCCCTTTAAAAAAATGTAAATCATTAGGCCACTAAGTATTTTGTTTTATGATGCAAAGTAGGAATTTACCTTTTTATGTATTTATTTTCTGCTATACAATGCATTTCAATCTGTGTCTCCTGATCTTGTAATATTGGAATAAGAGTTAAAATGTGTATCTAATATACATTCTTCCTTATCATATTTATTCAGCTATAATTTCAGAAATACTCAAATGTTAAAAAGTTGATTCATGAATGTTATTGGATTAACTTGTTTGACAGGTAAGCTGGTGACGGTGAAATATCTGCGTTTGGACCGATACCACCAACGCTTTCCACAGGCGCAGGGCAGCAGCACGCCCCTGAGAGCCTTCAGTCTCCGCCAGAACGTCACAAACGCAGTGAACACCACACCTTCACAGCAGCACCATGGCTCAGCCAACTCTTCAGGCTTCTCATAAGATAACCACTTTCTGTGCATTAACACTGCTGTACCTTCCCAGCCTCACAGCACTTCTCTGCTGTTGCCCAGTCACTATTTTACAAAAGGAAAGACTTAAGTTTTTTGTCAAGGGAAATGTATGCAATTTTTCCTCTAGTCTTTTCCAATACAGCCTATTTGAAATCAAAGCTGTTAAGTGGTTGCAGTGTTTTTTCTATAATCTTTATATTTCAGATGTTATGGAATTAAAAACCAAGTAAAGTTTCTCATGTATTTAAGATGTGTGCATAGATTTTGACGTTCCCTCTTTCTAATCTATAGTTTAACTAATGCCACAGTGGAGCTAATTTGGATATTGAATGGAAATGGCTGTTATATAATCAGCTATAGTTCTATATGTACACTTTCAGTGCTACACTTGCATTTCTGAGAACATAAATCTACTTTCTGCTCAAACAAACCTAAGTAAATTGTATATATTAAGTTTACCTTAAGGGCACATTTCTCATGCATTATAACCATAGCAACAAGCATATTCTTAAGGTAAACACAGATGTCACAAAAGTACCATTTTGACATTCCGGATGGAAAAATTAACCTGCAAACCCCTTTGTCTTTTTTAAATTTTTTATTTTTAAGTCATGTACTTGTGTGTCCTTGCAGTGCTTTGAAAATTAAGCTTGTGAGAAACTTTCAAGAAACAAATTCCATTTCAGTCATCTAAATCCTTCTCCCAATTTCTACTCCACTATATTGCCAAGTTATAGTTAATGCTATCATTAATAAATTTGTTTACCTCTTTAAACATGGCTTATTTTTGTTGTTTGTCCTCATCTAATTTATTTTTCTATTTTAACTGATGATTTTATGTCGGCACACAGGAAAAAATCTGAAATACAGATGTTGGTTATTTTCTGTATAATTGACTTTTTTTGGGGGGTAATTGCACCCAGTTGTTTTGGTACAACCTTTTCTTCTTTAATGCAAACACTTCTATATTGAAACAGGCCAGCTAAACTTATCCTATGTTTGGAACACTAATTATAACACATCCCATGCACTGTATGGGATTATTACACATGTATATAGACTTAGACTCAACTTTATTTATCCCTTGGGATTACTCATTCAGGGAAATTCTGGTTCCAGTAGCTTATATAGAGTACAATATACACTGTGTTATTGCACAGTAAGAGAGAAGAATATTTCACGAGTGATGATAGGTAATGTTTTGCACAAGATGTTCAAGGAGGGGGCTGCTGATCCTTGTCCCCTCATCTTATCACCTCCTCCTTCCCCCAGGTGAGGAATTGTATAGCTTGATGGCTTGAAGAACAAAGGAGTTCAGCAGTCTGTTGGTCCTACATTTGGGGAGGAGCAATCTCCCACTAATCAGGCTCCTCTGAGTGGTGGAGGCAGTGAGCAGAGGGTGGCTGGTATTGTCCATAATGTCCAGCAGTTTAAGTCTCCTTGTCCCAGCCACTGTCCCCAGAGAGTCCAGCTTCTTGCCAATTACAGAGCCGGCTCGCCTGACCAGTTTGTCCAGTCTGGAGGTGTCCTTGGATGTGCTGCTCCCTCAGACCACCATGGCGTAGAACAAGGCCACTGGCAACCACAGACTGGTAGAAAATCTCCAACAACTTGTTGCAGATGTTGAATGACCTGAGTCTCCTCAGGAAGTACATCCTTCTCTGTGTTTTCCTTAGCAGGTGGTTGGTGCCTGTTGACCAGTCCAGTTTATTGTCTAGCCACACCCCAAGGTATCTGTATGAATCCACAGCCTCCAACTCAGGCCCCTGCAGAAGTACCCGCTAAGTCTTTGGGCCATTCCTCCCAAAGTCTATGACCAGCTCCTTCGTTGTGGAGATGTTGAGCACCAGGTGGCAAAGTCCCCCACCAGACTCCTGTACTCCCCTCTCTATTGTCCCTACAATGGCTGTGTCATTTGCGTACTTCTGTATGTGACACAGCTCAGAGTTGTAACAGAAGTCTAAGGTATATAGGGTGACGAGGACATGGGCCTGCACTGTGCCCTGAGGGACTCCAGTGCTGCTGACCACAGTGTCAGAGATGGTGTCGTTCACCCTGACATACTGTGGCCTGTCTGTGAGGTAGCTGGAGATCCATGCCACCAGGCAGGGGTCCACTCCCATGCTATTCCGTTTGTCGACATGTGAACTGCAGGCGGTTCTGGGTCCTATATATACAGGGAAATATATATGTGTGCATATATATATATATATATATATATATATATGTGTGTGTGTGTATATGTGTGTGTGTATATATATATTTAAAAAATCTGCTCCATTAAACATTTTGTAATTAACCTTCATTTCTTTACTCAGTTAAATAACCGTTTGTTTTACTTCCCCACCCCCAGCCCGCTTAGTGACCATAACAGGAGATATGCAGGTCCCCTGGCATTCTACTACTTACTCATCCGGGACAACTAAACTGTTCGAGTAAAGATCCCATGTCATCATTCCTAGACCCTCTGATGTACTGGGCAAACAAAGGACTATTATCTAAACACAACAGTATCTCGTTTGTCAACATCACGTTCCTGCTTCTGCTTCTTTCTGGTATGTCTGCCGTACGAAAAAATTAACTAACTTCGAACAAGCAGCGTATGTCATGACGTTGGGTAGTTTCCAGAGTATTCGTATACCTAAGATTAAAACTCGTGTTTTGAATATGAAGCGAGTTTTTGTGTTGTCGGCTGCACTTTTGAATGTACTGAATTAAACAACACCGTCTCTCTGGGGTTAGCAAACAGAAATGGAGGACAAGGCAGCAGCTATGCAGTGCTTGGTCACGCACAAAAAACAAATCGGAATAACTGCAGTGACCATAACTTGGTCGTCGTAAGGAAACGTCTGTCATTGCGTAACACTTCTGTTGTTTTTAGTGGCCCACGTATATCAAAGACGATAAAGCTTGTATTTACCTTTGAAGTCGTAATGACGTCAAAACTGGATTGACGATTTAGTTGGAACCTATTTCTTAATTTTTGTGGCCATTCAATGGACTTTCTGTTTTGTTAATAAAAGCCAATAACATGTTTTTATTTTTCGCACATAATTTCCACAGTAAGCTTTAGTTGCTATTCTTTTGTGTTGCCGACTACACGCAAGATGACATACAGCCGCCCCCTACAGTCCATATTTTTCCATTACGAAACGATTCTTCTTGGTCGAATGGCCAACCTGTCAGTTGAAATTTCCAAAGGAATCTTGACTTGCAAGGCCTAAGTTTCTGCCATCTTCTCCATATATTGGAAATTTGTTTTCAAAAGCAGCTAAGAGCAGAGCAGCATACAACGTTATTTACTGTCTCTCTGGCTCTCTGGGTGTTCTATAACAGAATCAGATCGCTTTATTGGCCAAATGTACAACACAGGAATTTTCCTATAACGTTGCCACAGAACTATTAGAATAACACATTAGAATAATAATAGAAAAGTAAAAGTGAGTACAATATGTACAACTGAGTAGCGATAGGCACACAAAGAAATGACAGTTAGTTGACCAGAAATATATATAGGATGTCAAGAATAAACATTATAGTTAAGTGTTCTTTAAGTGTTTGTAGAAGTGGTGGGGCTGGTGTGCTAAGATATCTTTGTTTAAGAGGGTGGTGGCCTGGGAAAATAAAAAGTTTACCAACTGTGAAATAGTGTTCCTGTACGCTGTCTCATAGTCGTCTTTGATGAGGCTGAGGGCCATTGTCAGTGGGGTTTAGGTCCAGCAATTTGGTTGGCCAGTCAAGCACTGATATGGCATGGGAATCAAACCAGGTTTTGTTGCTTCTGGTGGTATGGGCAGGGGCCAGGTCATGATGAAATCTGCGTGTCAATTCAGATCCTCTGCAGAAGGCATGAAGTGCTCAAAAACACTCCGGTAGATTGTTGCAGTGACCTTGCATCTAAGAAAGCAGAATTGATCAACATCTGCACCCTAAGTCATGACTGACTGTTGATATTTCACTCTGTAGCTCAAGCAGCTTGGGTTATGTTCCTCAACCATCTTCCTCCAAACCCTTGGACCTTAATTCCCCAATGAAAGGCACAATTTACTTTCATCGGAAAGAGGACCTTGGACCACTTTCCAACAGTCCAGTCATTCCCCTTGGGCTAGTTGAGACCCTTCCTACATTGGCTCAGGTTTAGAAATGGCTTGACCCGAGGAACTTGAAAATTATAGCCTATCCCCCAGGTCTGAAAGTGAAACTGGTGGTTTTTGAAGCTGTGACTCCCACCTTCCACTGTCTCTGGATCTCTGCCAGATTCTTGAATCTTCTCTGTTTGATAATCTGCTGAAGCGGTCATCTCTTTTTCTGGTGCATTTTTCCCCTGCCACAATTTGGTTTTCCAGATTTTATCCTTCCACTAGACCAGGGATCTCAAACTCCTGTACTCGAGGACCGCTGTCCTGCAGGCTTTAGATTTTTTTTCCTGCTTCTGCACACCTGATTCTGATTAAATTGGACCTCCTCTGGACATTGCTGAGCTTTGCTAATGGCTGCTTGATGTGAATCAGATGTGTTGAAACAGGAAAACCTCTAAAACCTGTGGGACAGCAGCCCTCGAGTTTGAGTCCCCTGCACTAGATTTCCATTGATATGCTTGACACAGCACTTTTTGAACAGCCAGTATCTTTAGGAATGAACCTTGTGGCTTATCCATCCTAGTGACGTTAGAATTGACTTATATTTACTAACTTTAGAGTTTTACTTTATTACTGAAATTCATGCAAATTACCAACGGCTTTGTTCATTTTAAGAATTAAACTTGTACTTGAATGTGTTGTCTATGGTTGTACTCCCAAATTCCTCTTCTTTCTATGAGACATTAGATACATCTCTTCAAGGACAACAGTCATGCACACAGTTATTATCACATCTCAGCAAGCTCTGCATGAATTGGGAGCTGGCCCTATTACGTCAGAGGGTACTGGCAAACTAGAAAATTTCAAAAGAGATTTTGAAGTGGGACTCATCTCATGCATGGTGTAGGAACCTGGCATGGCTCACTGAGACCCTCCATGGCCCTCAGAGGCTCTGGAGTGGTCAGGGAACATGACATTTTGGCTCTCCATAGTAATGGCTTACGCCTATGAGAACCACAGAAGGAGAGTAACAGAGCATGGACATTGGCAGACACAGAGCGGATGCCACTTAGCTGTGCTCTTGGGCCCACTGAATGAATACCGTGGGCGTCACTGGTGCTGAAAGCTGAGAAATACACCTACTCAATAATGAATGACACGCAGGGGTCTATACAGAACATAGATTAGTTAATACTAAAGAATGAACACCAGTATCATTGCAAAGAAGGTATTACATACACGCATAAATATAACGTTAATATGAAAATGAATTAATAAAAAATATACAATTGACTAATATATTGACACCAAATGCGGCACATAATTTTAATTCCTGAAAATTTAAAGGTACAAAAGAGTAAATGTTTTTCTTCAATTTTTCAATACATGATTATTTTCATGCTCAGGACTGTGATACATGGCCAATAAATTGCAATATATTTTTAGACAAAATTAGATTTATGTTGAAATTTACTTTGATTTCTTTAGTTATATAACAACAAAACTCTTGTAAATGAAATGTGGGGTTATCCCTGAAAAAGTCTTTATTTTATTCACCAGTGTTGGTATAGTATTGACTTCAGTGGAAGCACAAAAACTGTTTTAGTATTTTATTTTCACTTAGAAATTGGTTAAACCGTAAACGTAAACAAATATTATCAATTGAAAATTTCATAGGATAATTCAAGTTATATGCTGTTTTTTTTTCTTTATAGTGTCGCTGTTTCATGGCTGCCTTCCTTAGACGTGGGCTATTCTTGGCTCTGCATCGTACCCTTGGGCGTAACAGGAGCTCGGTCAACCGCTCTGTTCTACCTCCTGCTTTTCTAGGTAGAGTAACATGCTAGATTAAAGTTGGAAGATTAGACTTTATATATGGCGGCACAGTAGTGTGGTGGTTAGCCCCATCACCTCACAGTAAGATGGTTCTGGGTTCGAGTCCCCAGGGGAACCAGGACCTATCTGTGGGGAGTTTGCATGTTCTCCCTGTGTCTGCGTGGGTTTTCACTGGGTTCTCCGGCTTCCTCCCATCATCCAAACATTCCAAATTGCCCTTAGGAGTGAGTGTGTATGGTTGTTTGTCCTTGTGTGTCATTGTGTAGCCCTGTGATGGACTGACGGACCATCCACGGTCTATCCCGGCTCTCGCCCATTGACCACTGGGTTAGGCTCCAGTTCCTCTGCGACCCCATTAGGGAATAAGTCGTTATGAAAATGGATGGATGGATGTACTTTATATAGGGGTATCTTTGTTAATTTACTTGATTTTTTTTATTTTTTATTACAGCATTGCTTATTACTCTACATAGTTGTCTGCAGCACTCCAATGGATACCTGGAGATGCACATCATCAAAACCTTAGAAACCTTAGAAACCCTCAACACCTTAGAAAGATAGTGACGTTATTAGCTGTGATACATAACAGGAGGTTCCATGTTGCACAGAGGTAAGGTTATGGACCACTACATATGTGGATTCACCCAGAGCTCTGCTTCCATTAACAATGTTATACCTCTGGGCCTGATCCCTGATCATATGAACCTATGGGGATTCTTGTTTATGCATAGAACAGAGCTCAAGGTGCAAATCTGTTTGTTTGTTTGCCGGGTAGCAGATGAAGTCAGAGCTCTTCTCTTATTTCACTTTCACTTGAAGGTTTCTTTATTCAAAAATGAAGAAAAATCTGCCATCTGTTAGTGTAAACTGTGCCCTTAAAGTGATTTGCTCATGAAGCCAAACTTTGTCTACGTACTGGAAAAAATACTGGAGCAGCCCATTACTCTTTGACTGCAATTGAAATTTGCCTTCAAGGTGAACATGATCTTTTTTGCAGGAGAGTTTCTATATAATCACAAACAATATCCTAAAAGAATTAGCTTAAATTTAATAGGGTTACTGTGAGTGTTCTGTGTACATTAAAAATGGAAACAAATTTTTATTCTTGCGATGGACTGGCCTGGGTGTACCCTGCCTTTTGTCCACTGTCAGCTAAGATAGCTTCCAGCTCCCCCAGACCCCTCTGGGATGAAGTGGTATGGATAATGGATGGATGATTTCATTCTTAAAATTGTAATATTTGATTGCTTAGTCTTGCAGAGGATGGATGATCTTCAAAAAAAGTGAAGAGTACAGAAAAATGGTTAAAAATCTCTTTAAAATGTCACTGCACAAATTACAATAAATGAATGGTTCAAATTTCGCAGACATGCTGTTTCGCGTTTAAAAAGATAATAATGTAAAATATTATCACGGTATTTTCGGTATTTTGCTAGGTTTTTCAATACACATGCACACACTTGTTGTACTGTAATATACACATGCACACACATGTTGTACAGTAATGTATATATTTGGTGGATTTTGCATTAAAAGTCACAAAATATATGAAAATACATTAAAAACGTGTAATTCCACTAAAAGAATACAGTTTTATTAATCATAAAAAATTACAAGTAAATAACGCATTAACTCGTTTTGGATGCTTCTTGCCGACGCAAGATAGTATACAACACGATTGGTTGACTGATGTAAGACCTACCAGAGAATGCCACTCTGCATATGTGCTGATTGGCTCAGTAACCGTTTGTTCGTGATCGCCTTCCACTCGCTTTATAGTGTCCCTACGGTTTTTCACTTATCGGGGGTGGTCCGTAACAACCGCGATAAGTGAGGGATCACTGTATAACCAAATACATTTATCATGGATATTGCACTGTTCCTGATTCTGATATGAATTGGCCCTTAAACCCCATATTATCAAAAATATATTAGAACCTCTACACACTAATTTAGATTGTTCCAGGACCTACTTTGTATGTTTGTTCAAATATTCCCATTAGAATATACTATAATTTGTATAACTAGCTCCAAAGCTACTTCGTGTGTCGAGACGAATATTTGATCACATTTCACTTCGTATGTTGGAAAAGTTGTATGTTTAGGCAATCGTTAGTAGAGGTTCTACTGTAGTGGAAATAGATACAGGTTCAAAGGTACTGATTAGTAGTGTGCATGATTAAGGGAGGGGTTTTGAAAAGTGTGTCAGAAGGTATGAGGACTTGGATTTTCTAAAATTGACCCAGTAGTGTAAAGGATCAAACTTGGAATATGAAAGATGTTACAACCTGTATTTTTATAGCCGAAACCGTTCAAGTACTTTTTTATTTGATGCCAGGGAATGACATTCAGCAATGTGCCTGCTAAATTGAAATCTGCATAATTTTTGCTGATGCGAAGGTGCAAATGTAACTCTGACCCTGCCAGCCCCTCTGCACCTCCCCTAGACTCCGCGTTGTGATTTTGGTTGTTGTGAAGTGTCGTGTGGAGGAAAAGAAGCACCAGATGAAGGATTTGTGATTGTTGCTGAAACCTGCAATTTACTTAATTTCACAAAACACCTGGCTTCAGGGCACCTTTCAGGGGAGAGGAGGGTAAACACAAAAAAACGTAAAGAAATAAATCTCCCACTAAAACAATAACCATGATAAAATAAATAACACGAAGCATACAGTTTATTCCCAGATAAAGCCCACATTCAACAGAAAAACGAATACTCCCACAGCCCACGCTAGCATGCGAGCCACCCTCATAGCCACATCTGACCCAGACCTCAAACAGTAAAACAAACAGTGTTCATAACACTCCCACCAACTGTAGACTTTAGCTGAACATTTGGATGAACAATTAGCATGAGCAAATGATAAGAATGTGTAGTACTAACATAATATTTGTGTATTATGCCGGACGCTGCAACAATGCCTACCTTTTAGGGGAAAGGAAGGTAAACACACACACACACACAAAAAGTCCTATCCTGAGTAAATCCCAAAACCATGGTGTGAACTGGCATAACTGTGGTGCCCAAACAGTGCCACTTTGTGACGCAACCAGGACACGTCCTTACACAAACTTAACATGATTTGAATGATACTGAGTGTTAAGTGAAGTACTCTTGAAAATGAAAGTTTATTAAATAATAATGACAACTAGCTTAGTATGAAATTCAATATTTCTGGGAACTGGCACAGTGTAGTTAAGGTGGCAAAGCTTTTTGCCATTACGTTTATTAACTGAGATGTTGCACGTTTGTTAGCTGTAAGACCCACTGGTATTTTTGAGGTTCCTTGTAAAAAAAGAAAAAAAAAAAGTAGATGCACACATTTTGTATTAATTTGTCATTACAAAGTCTTAGTAAACTCTGTGTCAAATGAACTGATATTTCTTTGCGTCTGTTTTGAAAAAATCACAGATATCATGCCATTTGGGGAATTGAGAAGTCTTAGAAAATAAATGACAGACATGTTTAAGTTGATCTGAATGTCTCAAATGTATCTACAGTATCTACATTGTCGACGTTTGCTGGGTTGCTATGTCTTGCCTCTATTCGTCAATTTGTAGATGTAACGGTAATTTTTGTCTTTTATTGCTGGTTCAGGAAATCTTCATCACAGTGTAATGAAAATTCATTGGATTCTTTAAATTGTATGCACCATGTTTGTTTTTTTCAAGCAGGTGGTCCCTGCTTTTTGTTGTGTTTTTTGCGCCAAATTTGTTTACCTGCTCTGTGATTGTTTGAACTTGGCTGTTGAGGTGTTTTTTTTTTTTTAAATGACCTTTTAGGCTGAGATTAAATTGCTTATGTCCATGTTGGATTATTCCACCTGCCCTCAACCTCAATGATAACCTCAATAATATTACAGCGTTTTATCAGTTTTTAGGGTGGGCTCAGGGAGAATGTAAATGAATCTGTCCTGCTGGTAGTAATTTTAGTAATTGATACTGCACGTTATGTTTATGCACCCTTCCAGCAGATGCTGGGATACAATGCTATCTCATCAATAATGGACCAGTGTTCCTCATTATCCCAATTACATAATGTGATGTTCAACTAGAAAGCATAAGCAATGTCATGTAGCATGTATCCTAAGTCATCACCTATGCTGTTAAACTATCACGGCTAAACTATACACATAATGATCCTGACAAAGAATTGCTCAAATGATTTAATATAATTTTTACAAGCTGAAGGGGACTTCTCTACAATAACAATTCAATAAGTCTTAACAGCTTGCTAGCTATTATAAAGACGATTGACTTGGCATGAACTGAGAAATGAAAGGCTGGTTATATTTCCTGAAAGTATGGTGGGGATATTGTTGGCAGTAAGATAAATAACAGTTTTTTTTCTTGGTTTACATGACTTTTCTTTTTGCCTTTAAATAATTACAAGAATGGAAAGCAAAACTGTTCCTTTCCTTCATATCCATATTTTATTAATGTTTTTCTTGACCTGTATTGTCATATGTCCCCCCCACCCACCCCCAGCCCCGTTTCTCCCTTCCTTATCCAGTACAGTTCTTGGCCTTGCTGAAGGGGGTTTGATTCTAGTGGTGCTTGGAGTACCTTTATCCAGCAGTCATGTCGGGCTTCAATCTGCTGCATCTAATAACCAAGAGTCAGCCTGTATCTCTGAGATCCTGCAGTCTTCCTTCAGGTTTACTGACTGGGTGCTGTGTGCTTGATGTGTTTTGCCTTCCTAATGCCATTTAACATATCACTGGCATGTAATTTCTGGCATTTTCTATTCAATTAGTAATATAACCCTCCCTTGCTTTAGTTCTTGCATTTGATTGATCCTGTCAGTTCTGTCCTCTTAGTCTTTCTATCTATTTTGAATAGACAGGAGGTAGTAGGAATGACTTTCTGTACCACATTACCATCAGATACTATGCAAGACCAGAATCGTCAAGAGTTAGAGTGTAGCTCTGTGTTATTACTGTGAATATAAATTTATTCAATTTACTGTAGATAAATATAAGAATACTTTTTTGTGTAGACTTGATTGCAATCTAGAGGTGATGCAATGAATAGTGTTCTGCAAGTACTGCAAAGGATGCTATACAACCATTTTGTCTTTGGTGGAACCCAGCAAAGTAGGCATTTGAGGGTGAGTTTAGTTATGATCCATGAATTTACAAAATCAACATGCATTTTAGAGACTCTTCAAAGTTCTGTTAAATGTAAAGCTTATTCCAGTGTGTCTACAGTGTATTTGTATATACATTTACCCATTTCTTCCCTCCAAAGCACATACTTGAAAAGAAGGCCCAGAATGGAACTAACTAAGAAGAAGCTAAGTCAGATCTTGACTGCCTCTTTTTTATTCAGCGGAGCTCCTAATTTCTATGTTCTTCAACCTGGAATATACAAAACTTTGTGCAGTCAATGGCTTAAAACCATTCCATTAATAGACATTTCTTTTTAGAATGTGTTTAGGATTGCATTTGTCTGTCCAAAAATGTTTTGAAATTTCTAATCTTTATGACTGATACCCTGTTACTTGCTTTGTATGTTTGGGTGAGCGATCCTTTCTTTGACTTTACTTGTTTTATATACCGTAATAGACTGTGAAATACTGTGATATGTGATATGCTGTGAATCTGTTCTTTTCAGGTTTGTTGCTGTGCACTTGTCATCAGTTTATTTCTCCATTCCTTTCAGTTCTGAGGGCAATAACACATTTTTGGTTTTGGCATTACAAAATAGTCTCATGTTAACAATTTGAGTCATTTTTACCTAATCCATCATATAAACTGGAATCCAGTGTAAATTTAGAGAACAGTTCACATTCGTTTGTTGTCCTGTTTGGTAGCTAATGGTGTGTTTAAATTAAACTTGAGCATGGGATTAAATATAAAAGGGTTTCTAAATTGTCAGCAAAACTTAGAAAGATTACGTATTAAGAGTGCAATATAAAATATCCAAATGCTGTGTTTTTTCATTAAGTAAGAAAGTGCTTTGGTTACAGTGCCAGCTATTGCTCTTTTTTAAATGTTTGTGAAACTACTCAAGCACAGGTGACTTAATTTTTTAAGATTCAAATTTTATTTACAGTACCCCAGAGCTTATAGCTTTACACATACACTGAAATTCAGATGAGTGAGAATGATTCACTTTTTAGCTGTCTTGTACCTATGCATGTGCACTATATTTTCTCACGCTTATTTACCTTGTTTAAACCTTTTATGTTTGTATTTTTCCAGAGATGTTATGGGGAAATTATAAGACTAATAAGAGAAATATGTGATGCATAACTGTTTGAAACATGACAGAATTTTGAGTGGGAATGTTTGTTGAACTAACATGAATTCATTTGCAGAGAAGCACATACAGTAGCAATATTCATTACCATAATGCAGCTATTTAATTACAAACCTACTGGATTTTTACTTGGATGCATAGCACCCGCCAAAAAGCTCCCAAGTGAGAAAAGCTTTTTCTCAGCAGGATTACCCAAAAGACCACCAATATTACTCTGTGATAGGGTGCAAACTTGAGGTTATAACCTGACCCCTGCAATCCAGACTGATGGTGCATATTCAACATAGGGAGGCAAAATTGGACATGCCAGAGCTAATTTGTCCCTCCACAAACAATTCAGAGCCATATTTTCAGTCATTGTTTTCTCTTTGGGGCTGGACAGTTCAAGGTCTTTTCTTCAAACAATGACTTCACATATGGCATAAACAAATTAGCGTTATGATGCCATAATAACATGAAAGCCAAAATTAACATTTCTGTTTCTCTCTACCTTCCCTCTCAGGAGCAAGTAGATCCACAAAGTCATGGCCAGTGAGCTTCATTCAAGAAGATTTGAAGAAACGCCTAACACCAATGCAATACCATGTTACACAGGAGAAAGGAACCGAGAGGTAAGAGGAGCTCTTACGTAGATTTAGAATGTTTGTTACAGCTGTTAATGTTTATTTAATTTAATTATACTTTATGACTCTTTCATTGACAAAGACTTTAGCTTTGCAGAGGGTACCAAACATATATAGTAGTGTGTTTGGTTTTGTATTCCTCAGAATTGCAAGCATATTTGGGAAATTATTATATTTATTTCAAACTAGATTTTAAAGCAATTTTCGAAATGGTTTTTCTTTCACCTCAGCACTTTTGTTATAAGTTTGCTAGTTGTTTTAAAAAAGTGGTTTGCTCAGGTCTTTCAGAGCAAAGATCTTAGTAAACCTAAAATAATTGCTCAAATCACAAAGGAGAGAATGACAGAATATTTTGCACACAGATGGCAACCGACCAACAGGCAGAAAACGAGTGACCATATTTAGTAAATGATAAACCCCTAAACCATATAGTTTACTATTTTGCATGGGAATTATCAAGAGGGAAAACACACGCACTGCATTTTTTGGTATGAAGATTTCAATGAATAATGTGTGGGATGTTAAAAAAAGGCACATGTATCATTTGTGCTTTTTTACCTAGAAATATTGAGCTATGTTGTTGAGTAATATGCTAAATCTATAATTATTGTTATTTTTTCTCAAAAAGAGACATTTCTGATCCTGAACAACAAATATGCTACAAATAACTTTAGTTGCATGATTGAATATGCCAATGTCTGGTTTTAGCTGTCCTAAATTAATAGAATTGGTAGCTACTAAAATGATGACTTTGTGTTTCTCTAATGGTTAGAATATCAGTTGCTTGCATTCTTGAGCAGAAAAAGTCTTAATGGTTGAATGTGTTTTTGGCTTTTTAGCCAAAGTAAGTTGGCTTAAATCTGGGTATAGAATGGGCGATGGAGAGAAAGAGAAAAACTAAAAATATCATCATATTAAACCACTGCATTTTATATATCCTTTCCACAGAGCCTTTACAGGGGATTACACAGACAATAAAGATGAAGGAACCTATAAGTGCATTGTCTGTGGGGCCCCTCTATTCAGGTAAGAAGCTGTGTGAAAAGGTACTTTGACTTACAGTTGGTGTTTTTAGTTTAAGTTTATGTTAATTTTTTTTTTTCTTTCAGACAAAATTCTGTACTTTTCAAAAGACAAAATGTTTAATAGAGTTTTGGGCTTCTTTAATAAATAAAATTAAAATCATATAAAAATATTATTCAAATAATTTGGTGTCTTTTAAATACAAGCCAGAAATAATTAGTATCAATACGATTCCCTAATATTGGTAATTATTCATTTCCACAACAAGGCAGCTTAATTTTTTATTAAAAAATATTTTTCAGGTTGAGCCACAACATTCCATAACATTTTAAAAGAATACCACGAGAAAGACAAAGTAGTGCATGTGTATATCAGGTGTTTTAATTATGATTTGTCTTTTGTCTTTTAGCTCTCTGTCTAAATTTGATTCAGGATCAGGTAAGTTGAATTATGTTTTCACATGAAGCTACTGTGTCTGTCTTGTCACATTTACAAGTTTTGTAGTGGTTTAAATGTTCATTTACGACAGAATTTCTGCTTTTATCCTTTATGAAGAGCATATGGATATTTATATGTTACAGTTGACTTTATGTGTAAACATTCATATTCTTTGGTTAATTCTTTAGCAAGAGGATGCCGGCATGTGACTTTGATATGTACGCACAGGAAGCAAAAGATCCAATGCCATGTTGTTATTACAATGTGGAAAAGTCCTTCGCACGGGCCCACCACCCGTGGGAGGGGCCATAGGGGTCGGGTGCAGTGTGCCCTGGGCGGCGGCCGGAGTCGGGGATCTTGGCGGACTGATCCCCGGCTGCAGAAGCTGGCTCTAGGGACGTGGAACGTCACCTCTCTGGCGGGGAAGGAGCCTGAGTTAGTGTGCGAGGCGGAGAGATTCCGGCTGGACATCGTCGGTCTCGCCTCGACACACAGCTCTGGCTCTGGAACCAGCCTTCTCGAGAGGGGTTGGACGCTCTTCTACTCTGGCGTTGCCCAGGGTGAGAGGCGCCGAGCAGGAGTGGGCATACTCATTGCCCCCCATCTCGGTGCCTGTACGTTGGGGTTTACCCCAGTGAGCGAGAGGGTAGCATCCCTTCGCCTGCGGGTGGGGGGACGGGTCCTGACTGTCGTTTGTGCCTATGCGCCTAGCGGCAGCACAGAGTACCCACCCTTTTTGGAGTCCTTAGAGGGGGTACTGGAGGGTGCCCCCTCTGGGGACTCCCTCGTTTTGCTGGGGGACTTCAACGCTCACGTGGGCAGCGACAGTGAGACCTGGAGGGGCGTGGTTGGGAGGAATGGCCCCCCCAGCTTGAACCCGAGCGGTGTTCTGTTTTTGGACTTCTGTGCTCGGCACGGATTGTCCATAACGAACACCATGTTCAAACATAAGAGTGTCCATATGTGCACCTGGCACCAGGACACTCTAGGCCGCAGTTCAATGATCGACTTCATTGTCGTTTCAGCTGATCTGCGGCCGCATGTTTTGGACACTCGGGTCAAGAGGGGGGCGGAGCTTTCCACCGACCACTACCTGGTGGTGAGTTGGCTCCGATGGTGGGGGAGGATGCCGGTGAGACCCGGGAGGCCCAAACGTGTTGTGAGGGTCTGCTGGGAGCGCCTGGCGGAGTCCCCTGTTAGGCGGAGCTTTAACTCCCACCTCCGGGAGAGCTTCGAACACGTTCCGGGGGAGGCGGGGGACATTGAGTCCGAGTGGGCCGTGTTCCGCGCCTCCATCAATGACGCGGCCTCCCGGAGCTGCGGTCGCAGGGCTGTCGGTGCCTGTCGTGGCGGCAACCCTCGAACCCGCTGGTGGACACCGGCGGTGAGGGATGCCGTCAGGCTGAAGAAGGAGTCCTATCGGGCCTTTTTGGCCTGTGGGACTCCGGAGGCAGCCGATGGGTACCGGCAGTCCAAGCGACGTGCGGCGCGGGTGGTCGCCGAGGCAAAAACCCGGGCGTGGGAGGAGTTTGGGGAGGCCATGGAAAAAGACTTCCGTACGGCCTCGAGGCGATTCTGGTCCACCATCCGGCGTCTCAGGGGGGGGAAGCAGTGCCCCACCAACACTGTTTACAGTGGGGATGGGGTGCTGTTGACCTCAACACGTGACGTTGTGGGTCGGTGGGCGGAGTACTTCGAGGACCTCCTCAATCCCACTGGCGCGTCCTCCGTTGGAGGGGCAGAGCCTGGGGATCCGGAGTTTGGATCTCTAATCTCCGGGGCTGAAGTCACCGAGGTAGTCAAAAAGCTCCGCGGTGGCAAGGCCCCGGGGGTGGATGAGATCCGCCCGGAGTTCCTTAAGGCTTTGGATGTTGTGGGGCTGCGTTGGCTAACGAGACTCTGCAACATCGCGTGGACATCAGGGGCAGTCCCGCTGGATTGGCAGACTGGGGTGGTGGTCCCCCTATTTAAAAAGGGGGACCGAAGGGTGTGTTCCAACTATAGGGGGATCACACTCTTAAGCCTCCCTGGGAAGGTCTATTCAGCGGTTCTGGAGAGGAGGGTCCGTCGGATAGTCGAGCCTCGGATCGAGGAGGAACAGGGTGGTTTTCGTCCTGGCCGTGGAACGCTGGACCAGCTCTATACCCTCAGCGGGGTCCTAGAGGGTGCATGGGAGTTCGCTCAACCAGTCCACATGTGTTTTGTGGACTTGGAGAAGGCGTTCGACCGTGTCCCTCGGGGTATCCTGTGGGGGGTGCTCCGGGAGTATGGGGTACCTGGCCCTTTGTTACGGGCTGTTCGGTCCCTGTACGACCGGAGTCAGAGTCTGGTTCGCATTGCCGGTTGTAAGTCGGACTCGTTTCCGGTGGGAGTTGGACTCCGCCAAGGTTGCCCTATGTCTCCGGTCCTGTTCATAACTTTTATGGACAGGATTTCTAGGCGCAGCCGAGGTGTTGAGGGTGTCAGTCTTGGTGGCCTAAGGATCGCATCTCTGCTTTTTGCAGATGATGTGGTCCTGTTGGCTCCATCAAGTCGGGACCTACAGCTCTCACTGGAGCGGTTCGCAGCCGAGTGCGAAGCGGCTGGGATGAGGATCAGTGCCTCCAAGTCCGAGACCATGGTCTCTCACCGGAAAAGGGTAGAGTGCCTTCTCCGGGTCGGAGCGGACGTCCTTCCCCAAGTGGAGGAGTTCAAGTACCTCGGGGTCTTGTTCGCGAACGGGGGTAGGGAGCGTGAGATCGATAGGCGGATCGGTGCGGCGTCTGCAGTAATGCGGGCCCTGTACCGGTCTGTCGTGATGAAGAGAGAGCTGAGCCTAAAGGCGAAGCTCTCAATTTATCGGTCGATCTACGTTCCCACCCTCGTCTATGGTCACGAGCTTTGGGTAGTGACCGAAAGAACGAGATCGCGGATACAAGCGGCCGAAATGAGTTTCCTCCGCAGGGTGGCTGGGCTCTCCCTTAGAGATAGGGTGAGAAGCTCGGCCATCCGGGAGGGGCTCGGAGTAGAGCCGCTGCTCCTCCACGTGGAGAGGAGCCAGTTGAGGTGGCTCGGGCATCTGATCAGGATGCCTCCTGGTCGCCTCCCTGGGGAGGTGTTCCGGGCTCGTCCCACCGGGAGAAGGCCCAGAGGAAGACCCAGGACCCGCTGGAGGGACTATGTGTCCCGGCTGGCCTGGGAACGCCTCGGGATCCCCCCGGAGGAGCTGGCCGAAGTGGCCGGGGAGAGGGAAGTCTGGGTTTCCCTGCTCCGGCTGCTGCCCCCGCGACCCGACCCCGGATAAGCGGAGGACAATGGATGGATGGATGGATGGAAAAGTACAGTATAACACTATTATATAGGGGAAGGACTCTGACTTTTGGCAGTGGAAGACATAGTCTTTGTGATGGTTGGCATTACAGGAATGACTATGAGAAGCCAGTGATCACCATCTAGAATCCAATTAATTGTAATATAATCAAAATCCAATCCGTTCAAGTTCATTAAGTTTCATATACATCCATTTCATATGAGCAAATTTAAAAACATCCCTAGCTAAGGAAGCCAGTAGTCTTCAATGCAATTCCCCATCATGAGTGTGCATGTGGTGTTTGAGGAAAGAAAAAAAACCAAATTTTATCAGGAAGAAACATCTGAAAGAACCAGGGAAGTGCCAATCTTCCTCCACCAGCTTGGGTTTGGTAGGACAGGAGAAAGGGACAATAAACACCACAATAGCATCTAAAGATACTTGAGGAAAAGGGAAAAAAATAAGTTAAAGACAGTGTCATGTACATGAAGAAAAGGTGGGAAAAAGGAAAAACAAAGTGAGGAAAATTATGTCACTGGAGCTCCCCCGACAGTCTAGGCCTATAGCACCTTAAACAATTACCTATGGTTATAGCGTTGGCAGGATATTTATATGTTGGGACTATTATTGTAACTGTCAGTTTGCTCAATCTGAAAATTGTAACCCCAACAGAGAATTGCGAATCTGTGCCTCTGTTTATAGTATATAGTGTAACGATCATTTACGATCATTTGGAACAATACCGAGAAAGAAAAGAGGTAAAAGACAGGGTGAAAGAATGGTGTTATTTTATTTTTATTTTTTAGTTGGCATTAGACAGTTGAATATGGGTTTTTCTTTGTTTCTTTGTTGCATTACATTTCAAAGAAGACCACCAAGAATAGCAAAACAACCTCTTCAGTTCATAGAGGAGGAGAGTGATTTGGAAGATGCTTCTTCTGAAAGATGGCATGCTGTTCTTTAGCATACATTGTACACAACACAAGTAACAAGTAAAACATTTACAAATAGCCATATTTAAATTCAATTACATTTGATTTATATAGTGCCAAATCACAACAACAGTTATCTCATAGCACTTTCCAAACAGAGCATGTCAGACCCTACTCTGAAGTTATTTACAGTAGCCCAACAATTCCCAATATTTAGCTTCAGTATGGAAATTATTAACTGTGGTATGTTTCAGGATTACCTGACCATTCCTTACTAAAGAAGCTTTATAAAAAATTTATGTTTAAAGCCTTATCTTAAAGGTATAGAGGGCTTCTTCTCAAATTAATGGTGGCTACTGGTTCTATGAGATTGAAACCCTGTAAATAAAGTATCTTCCTCCCATTCTACTCTGAGAAACTCTGGGATCCACGAGTAGATCTGCAGTTTGTGAGCTAAGTGTTGTGTTGGAAAATATATATTATTAAAAAATAATATTTAGCATCATACCCAGGAGTGTGATTTTTTTTAGATTATGTCTGTCACAATGGACATGCACCTGTTTATGGGGGCTGGGGTGTGGGGGGGGGGTCTTTATTTCCTCAATCTTGATTTATGGTTCAATAAAATGTATCCATGCTCTCAGAAGGTGACCTCCCTTAAGCTTCTTCTGGGTGATTTCTTTTTTTGTGCAACATGTATTAATGAGAACCTTTCCACGAGATCGCTTCCTTGGCCTTCGTGACAAAATCATCATTCCTGTGTACACTTTTGAGTCCTCAGTCCCTTAAGCAAACCTACCATTTTACTCATAGTTTTATCTATGACATCTGAGGGAACATTTGTGATGATACAGACCCAGGAAACATCAGTATAAGGGTACCACGATTGCAACGTTGAGAAAGGAGGGTACCTGGTTGGAAAGAAGGAGATAGTGGGCTGATAGAGGGTAGTTCTCTGGATCCTTACTCTCCTCACAGGGTATCTTAAACATTCAATTTCAGATTTACTTCCTGATGTTATTAGATGTCTGCGGTCTGCTCTGAATGTTTGCTTATGTATGGGAAAGAGGGTGTGGTTGAAGCTATAGGGTGAATCTGAGTAGTTGGTCATGGGAAGGTGTGTGTTCTAATGGGTAAACATTCCACATCCTTTCAAACACATGAATTTGACCCACGAAGGTCAAAAGTTGAACCATCAAATCGAGTTTGATTAATGGATTAGGGATTAGTTTGATTAACGGATCAGATGAAGCGCAGCCCCACTCTGAAGCCAGGCCTGGTAGTCGGGTACGATGGCGAGCGCCTGGTGGCCCGGCTTTTACCCATGGAGGTCAGCCTTGCCCAGCCAGAAGAAGCCTAATGGGTCCCCCTTCCAATGGGCCCACCACCCATGGGAGGGGCAAAAGGGGTCGGATGCAATATGATACCGGTGGTGCCCGGAGATTGGAGCCTTGGCGGACCGATCCCCGGCTGCGGAAGCTGTCCGGGAGGAGGCCCAGGGGAAGACCCAGGACACACTGGAGGGACTATGTCTCTCGGCTGGCCTGGGAACACCTTGGGTTCCCCCCAGAGGAGCTGGCAGAAGTGGCAGAAGTCTGGGTTTCCCTGTTTTGGCTGCTAAGCGACCCGATCCCGGATTAGTGGTGAAAAATGGATGGATGGATGAATGAATTTGACCAATTATCTATGTCGCCACGTTGTTTCATGGACACTACCAAGACAGCAACTGGTTGAACCACAACAGTCATCACTGGTCTGATTTGGCAAGAGTGCAAATAAAAGTACAGTCCTTATTGAAAGAAAATAATTTTAATTCAATTCAATTTTATTTATATAGTGCCACATCACAACAACAGTTATCTCACAGCCCTTTCCAAACAGAGCAGGTCAGACCCTACTCTGAAGTTAATTACAGAAGCCCAACAATTCCCACCAAGAGCAAGCACTAGGCGACACAGGCAAGGAAAACTTCCTTTTAACAGGCAAAAACTTTGAGCAGAACCATGGCGGCCATCTGCTGTTTGGGGGTGAGAGAAAGAGAGGGGAAGAGAGAGAGGGCGAGAGAAGGGCCGAAGGAGCGGAGAGGGGCAGCCACACGATTTGTGATAAATATAAAATTAATTTGCATGTACCAATATTTATTTTCTAACATCTCTCTGTCTTTTGTTTAGGCTGGCCATCTTTCTCTGACGTTGTAAAGGAAGAGTCCATCACTGTGTCAGATGATTTTTCATATGGGATGCACAGAGTAGAGACTGCTTGCAGCCAGGTAAACTATACTGCAATTTGCATTCTGCAGGGTTTCCACTTAATTGTAACTAACCTAGTTGACTACAAAAAAATTCAGCTCTGTTTTTGAAACTCCAAACCTCGTCAAAGGTACTTTACACTTTTTTCACCTATGGAGATGACTCGTGCGTGAGACTGGATTTGACATATTTAATTTCTATATTGTAAACTGTATGACATTCCAACAAACATTCGAAAAAAATGTAAGTTCTGCAGACAGCGTTTTCAACTTTAAAAGGTATTTTTTGTAGGCTAAGAAAGTTGGACACGTCATTTGCTAATGGCTCGTATGTCTCGTATTTATTCTTGTGCCATTTAAATAATGCCTTTCTAGGTATATTGATTTCAATTGTACATCAAAGTATTGATCTTTGCTGAACACATTTTGAATGTTGCCAAAGGCTGCTAAATCTTTCCTAATATGTTTCAGTGTGGAGCGCATCTCGGCCACCTGTTCGATGATGGTCCAAGACCAACAGGAAAACGTTACTGCATTAACTCAAACGCACTGGCTTTTCAACTGAAAGATACAAACCCAACTTCCCCCAACTTTGTAGCTGAAGGTGGAGCAACCAGCACCCCGGACACTGATGGGAAGACAGAGCTCTGAAAGAGAGAGCTAGAGAGAACACCTACTCGCAAAGGTGTATGGAAAGTCCAGCAGTTTAAAAAAATAGTAGGAATTTCTAAGCTTTTGATTTACTGAGAAAAGAGCAAATACAGACAATGAACCATTAATGTCTCAAGAAAACAAATATTTTAAATGTATTCAACTCAATTAAATAAATCTTATAACATCAAAAGACAAACGTCATCCATAGGCACTTCAAAAATGAGTAAACATTTCATTATCTTTGAAATGGTCCCTGCAGGTTAACGGAATTTACTGAATGTCACTATAGATTGTATGTTATTAAGATTGTGATGAGTACAAGACTAAAGTGCACTTGCATAGTACATCAGACACAATTTTCTCATTAACCATGACCATACAAATTTGATGGGACACACACTTAAAGTTTAAATGACAGTGGCATGAATTAGAGGTTAAGGCTAATGTCCAGGGCAGCCGAACCTGGGTATCAGACAAAAGCCAAGAATGTTGTTAGCTGCTATTAGTAAAATTGATGCCCATAATTTTAGATCATTAGTTGTTTACTGTGCTGTCTCAAAATAATTAGGTTTATGGATTTTGTCTCATTGAGGAGTTATCTATAAATACAACTTGTTATATGAGAAAAAGAGCTTTGGGCTCTGAAAATCAAAATGTAATAATGGCTATATGGCTGAATTTTCTAGTGTGACCAGTCCAGTCATCACTGTTTCACATATGGTAGAGTATTTGTTCAAGTATATTTACTAAGCCAGTCTTTATTTATCCTTTTTTTGGACTATATTAAATTTATATAATATTATGTTTGATGTTAGACACCTAGAAGTTGATTTTGCTACAAGTTCATCACTCTAGTGTTGTGTGACAGATGGTTTCATATTGTGGTCTTTATGTTAACTTTTTGTTTCTTCATTTTGTGAATATTTTTTGTTTAAACTGATAGCTTGTTTAAGAGTGTTGCAAGAATAAATAAAAATATCTGGAAATAAAACAAGTATAATATTAGCATATTCTGTTTTGTTTTTTACTTCAAAGCATGCACAATTTTTACTTCAATGCCTATGAAATGCAGGAAATCAGTTTTAGACATTAGTTACAACTTTTGCTCATTCAAAAATGTTAAACTTCTGCTTTTTTATTTACTAAAAGCAGAAGTTTATGTTTATGATATTCTTTACATTGAATGCAAATTTAAAACCATGCTACAAAAAGGTATATCAGGATAAGAAATGAAAATCAAGACAGCATGGAATATGAAACATTAGTCATAAAATTAATCATCACAGATGAGTTCAATTATTTTACTGTGGCTGGAACGCAATTGTAATTGTCATTACACTTCACTAATCACTCTTGTGTACTGTTTGTTGTATGTCTATGAAGCCCAGTGGTCTCTCATATAAGTTTTGGGGTTACATTTTCTACTAATACTCTATTATATCATGAGGAAGTCACACATTAACATTAAGTGGGGATTTGAGCTATCTGACAGTTCTGACTGTTTTTATGATGAGATTTATGGTTTTAAATGGATTTTTTAACACGGTTCTTAAATTGAATATTGGAGTTGTGGTGATGCCACAAGTTTGAAGTTCTTCACCTTTCAGTAATAGACTTCCTGCGTTCAAAAAGGGACAACAATGTCTATACACAGCTGATTAGCAATATATTAACAAACAGTCATCATAAGGAAAACAGTTATATAAAATATAGGTACAGGAACCTTTGTGTGTAGAGTTTGTATGTTGTGCCTGTGTCTACATGGGTACTATGGCTTTGTCCCACTTTTCAAAAGCCTGCATGGTAGGTGAATTGGACACCAAAGGAGTGAATGTAAATCTGATGGACTACTGACCTATTAAGCGTGTATCCCGCCTCTCGCCTGTTCTTAACTGGGATAGGCCCCAGCCCTTTTTATGTTTATGTTTCTCTCATTGAAATGGAGAATCCTTTAAATCCTTCACAACTTTTACCTCTTTCACTACTGCAGCATACTAGCAGGTAAGACTACTGTTTAATTAGCCCGCTGGGCTCTTCAAACCAGCTGTAAGACATCTGTAGAACATCCAGAATGCTGCTGCTCAAGTTCATAATAGAACCAGGAAATACGACCATACTAGTCCAGTGCTAAGGTATCTGCACGGGCTTCCTGTCGCTCAGACAGACGAGGTGAGGTTGTGTTCCAGTTTTATGCTCCTAAAACCTGGAATAGTGTTCCTGAAGAAGGGAGACAGGTCTCAACTTTATGGCACTTTGAATTGTCTTTTTCAAGAAATGTGCTATACACATTGAGACATTACACCAGACGGGGTGTACTACCTCCCAAGCTCGGACCTCCCCAATCTACTTGGGAGATGGCAACTTCTTGCTTCTTGAGGGTAATCAGATGGACCATCTTAGAGAAACTTTCCATATATTCAATATGACCGTGAAACTATTAGACGAGGACAAACATGTGACAAAGGGTGAAGAAACTATGAAGAAGCCTCTTGGATGAGAGGCGAAACATGTTTTAGAAAAACTTCACACCAAGTGCCTAAACTGAACTTTTCAAGCTTGACCATGACCTGGGTGAATGAGAATCTTCACAGATCTGTGACAAAGTCCATAGTGATGTGTGACCAACAACCCAGAGGATGGACGTCGTGATGGCTTACCTTGGCAACATAGGTGATGTGCCCTGATAAAATCTGTAATATCCCAGATACAGCCACCAAGACTGAGACTGGACGGCTCTAAAGGGTTCTGCTGATTCCAGGATGACGGGAAAGAAAAGAATTGTGGCAAAAGTTGAGTACCTTGACGACCAGATAATCTGGAGCAAACAATCGGTCCAGGGGGGATGGAGGAACAGTGAGTCGAGGCAGGAGTAGCATGGCGCCGATTATGTTGAGGAAGCAACATACAGGTCAGGCAGATGAGCGTGATTGCAGACATTGAGAGCAGAGGAGGAAAACACCAGGCGAGTGGGCCAGGATCATGACACTTACAAGTTAGAATAAGAGTTTTTTAGTTAAAAAATGACCATGTCTTTCCATAATTTTTAGATTTCTCCGTTGCCTTTTTCTATTTGGTTCATCTTCACATGGGTGGTTATTAGATTCCAGCACAAGTCTATTGACCACCGGCAACACCATGTCTTTCAGTTCAGCAAGCTATTGAACGACCTCAATAAAAACGTTATAATCTGATAACACTCATTACAGCATCCGTATTTTTTATCATCCATGGCAGGACTGACTGAATTTAGTCTTGGAGCAGTCCATTTCCTCAGGAAATTTTGCAATAAAAAAATAAAAAAAACAATACAAAAATGTTGACATCCTTTCAAAATGTTAAACATATCCCCTAGCAAATACAGGGAAACAGTGCCAACAGTGCAGGGTAGAGATAGTCTATCTCTGAATGTCTGAATGTTTAATGCTAGCTCGGAAGCCACTTCACAAAAGAGGTGTAACAGACCTTTTTAAAAAAAACTCAATTGAAATAAAAAATAGTATGCTTTTTTATATAAATCATGCTTGTTGTGTCACCAAAATCAAGTTATAGCCACTTTCTTCCTCAGGCCGTAAAAGTTCAGGGTTCACAGATGACTCCATGACAGAAGCTCACAACCTTATTTTAAAAAGGGTAAAAAAACTGAAAACATCAGTATATTTCCAATTTGATTGGGAATAAGATGGAATAACGAATTTTGAGGCCCTTAATTTTAAGTAGTGCAACACGGGGGAAAGACCCGGATGATGACTGAGGGCGTGGCTCTAAAGCCAACTGGTAGACTACTAAAATATGCTCAAGTAGCCTAGAGTCTCCCAATTAAAAGTACTCAAGTAAGTCTGGCTTAGACTGATGAAACAGAGGTAGCATACAAAAATATATTTTATTTATACTTTCTTTGACAATGTTAACAGTATACTTTATTCTAATTTAAGACCTGATTTGGCACAGGCATCTAGGGAAGCACTGGAAGCGATCAGAAACATAACAAAATCAACTACAAACCAAACTAATAGAAACAATTTCACCACACGCAAATAATATTGAACAAAAGAAAATATAAATCTCCCGTCGCCTCAGTCCAGTCCTTTAGAGCTCCGCCCAATCGGCTAATTCATAAAAAAATATATATATAAACCCTGGTTCTGGTTTTGTGGTGCTTTGCTAGATTTCCAGCTGTAGAGGACAACCCCTTAGCCAATTACTGAGAGCATCATAAAACTGTACATGGGTGAGAGCATAATATTGCACATAAGCAACCTGTAATACCACAACAGACAAAGTTTCTGCTGACAATAATAAAGCCAAAACCAGACAAAAGTGACAAAAATCCATTTACCTGTTCAGCAGCTCAACCAGCACGGCACCAGCGCTTATCCAACAAATCCCAGCTGCCACAATGGACTTTACTTGTCACTTGGCGGGCACACCTGGTGCCTATATAGGTTAACAAGCCCAGCAATACTGTGACGGGGTATGGTGCATTCAGGGACCCGACATGGGTGGGAATCCACAACTATTTTATATAAACAGTGTTTACTCTAATGAACCACCCGGTTACAGTAGCTTTATACAGTATGAATGGCTGATAACCTTCATAAACTATCTTATTAGACCTATATCATGCCTTAATGTGAATTTTTTCATAATGAAAAATACAAAGGATTTGTTAACATTGCTTTAATGTTTTTTTTTAAATTACATGTCATGTAGAGTGATACATTGTTATGGAAAAATTCAAATTACAGTAGTAGAACAACTTTTGCAGTCATTTTCAATCATTTGATGCAATCAATCAAATTAGGTCATTGCCTCGAGCAATAACTCCCGTGATTAGCATTTGTTTGGCTGTAAGCCATACTTCCTTTGAAAGCCACCCCTAGACACCAGGGTTGGGGGTCATGGTGGTAACACTGACAAAGTTCATAACCACAGTCACTTGTTTCCGACTGTTTTTAGTGCTAGCACAAAACTCCTGTAAGCAGCCGTAAACCTGAATGGCCACCGCAAATTTGTGTGCCCAAACCTTCCGCTATACACTGATTATGTTCTGGACATCCTGTACATTATCTGACCACATTTAACGACCTCATGGTGGCGGTATTGCAGGATGGTATCATTTGATGACCAGAATTATTAACCTGAAGAATAAGAGACGGAACCACATTGGGGACGGGAGCTGAAAACGGAGAGCGGGAGAATTGAACAAACAAACAAAGAAGGTGGTAGGAGCTGATTTGGTGGATCACATAAGCTGTACATTGACTGTAGCAGCATGGCTTCTACATCAGGAGGAAGTAGTGGAAATGAAATGGAGTGGATGATATCGAGGTCAGCAAAAATGAAAAGAGCAACCAGAAAGAGACAAGAAAGGGCAAGAAGTTGGTCGGATGAAACTGAGCCAGGAGCGGAAGGTAGTAAAAGGACGAAAATAAATCAAAGAGTGAGTTCACGGGAACAAGAGAACAGTAATACAGAAGTGGAATACAAAGTAGTGGTGGAATTTCAGCAAGAAAGGGGTTATATTCATCCGATAAAGATAACCAAAGCAATAGAGGTAGAGATAGGGAAAATCAAAATGGCTAGAATCATGAACAACAGAAAAGTGCTAATTCAAGCTAGTAGTGAGGCGCAACAAAATAAGATAATCAATATGAAAACTTTGATGGGAGAAAGAATTAAATCATATATACCAGGTTATATAGCAAGGTTGAGAGGAGTAATTTCAGGAGTTCCATTAGAAATGACAATGGAGGAGGTGAAGAATGAAATCAAAGGAGGGAAAATAACAAATGCCACCAGGATTAAAAGTAGAAGAGAAGGGGAACTCAAAGACACTATGGCTGTGATATTGCAGTTTGAAAATAACATGCCAGAAAATATACAGCTAGGATTCATGAACTATAAAGTTAGACAGTACATACCGACACCGCTTAGATGTTTTACATGTCAAAGAATGGGACACATTGCAAAAGAATGTAAGGGAAAAATTAGATGTGCAAGATGTGGAGGTCCACATGAGTTTGGAAAGTGTGACAAAGACGCTAAAATCAAATGCTGTAACTGTGGTGGTGATCACAGTGCAGCCTATGGTGGATGTATAGTTCAAAGGGAAGCTAGAGAAGCCCAGAAAATCAAGATAACAGAAAGAGTTTCTTACGCAGAAGCATTAAAAGGAGTAAAGAAAGATAGTACAAGAGGAATGAGGCTGGGAGAAGCAGATCAAAGTTACACTTCTCAGAATACAAATCAAGGACTGAATGATCAGAGACAAATATTAATGCCAACAACAAATACGAATAATACATGTTTGCATAAATGTAAAATAGAGGAAAATACAATGATGGTGAAAAAAGAAAACTTTGTAGCATTTATATGTCATATTATTAATGTTACAGTCCAAATGAAGAAGAAAAGTGATAAAATAAAAGCAATAGTTACAGCAGCAGGGAGGTTCCTAGATATGAAAGAAATTCAAGCAGATCAGATACATACCATTTTGAGTGCCACTGAAATAACATAAAATAGTCAGGATTAGGATACAAGCTTTGTTGATGGTTATTCATATTCTTCAATGGAATGCCAGAAGTTTAATAGCTAATGGACAAGAATTTAAAAAGTATATTTATGAATTATAAGTAATACCAGATGTAATATGTATACAAGAAACATGGTTAAACTCAAACTTAGATTTTAAAATTCCTGGATATAATATAGAAAGACAGGATAGAAGTAATAGTAGTGGTGGAGGATGTGCCACCTTAATTAAGGAAGGAATCGCTTATAAGAAAAACTCATTAAATAAAAACTTAGAATGTGTGAATATAGAAATATTTAATTTAAGGAAACATGGAAATATTAAAATCATTAATTATTATAATCCATGTAAAAATCTAGATAATGAAATATTTAAGGAAATAGGGAAAATACATAGAAGAGAAGTTTGGTGTGGAGATTTTAATGCTCACAACAGTCTATGGGGTAGCAAGAAGACGGATTATAATGGTAAAATAGTGGAAGAATTAATGGATGAAAGGTCATTAGTTTGTCTTAATAATGGAAAAGGTACAAGAGTAAATATACATAAAAATACAGTTTCATGTCTAGATATTACATTAATATCTGACTGTCTTGTTAGTGCATGTGAATGGGATGTAAATGGGGAATCTACATTAGGGAGTGATCACTTTCCAGTGAGTACAATAATTAATGACAATATAAATAGACAAGAAGAGTTAACATTAATAAGATGGTGCTTTAATAAAGCTGATTGGGTTAAATTTAAAACAAAATGTGAGGAAACAAGACATATAGTAACATTAAAAGGTAATATTGAAGAGTGTACAAATCAAATAATAGAACATGTTATAAATGCTGCAAATTATAGCATACCAAAAATAAAAGTGAAAGGTCAGAAGAAAGTAGTTCCTTGGTGGAATAATGAATGTAGTAAAACAATTAAAGATCGTAATAAAGCTTTTAAAATACTACAGAAAAATCTAACAATCGAAAACCTAATTGATTATAAAAGGAAAAGAGCAAAAGCTCGGAAAACTATAAAGGATGCAAAAAAGAAAACGTGGAGAGAATATTGTTCATTATGGAAGTAAATATGTGCCATCAGAATTTGAATAAAAAATAACTCCGAAATTTCCATATTATCATCAATAGGTTCAGAAATAAATTTACAGAATGTGTGGCCAATGTTTAGAAAAATGACGGGGAAAAAGAACAATGTTAATATTCCATCCTTAGTCAGAGGACAGGAGATAGTGGTTTTAAATAAAGATAAGGCAGAGTTGTTAGGAGAGACATTTGCGGCTGTTCATAATGGTGATCACTTGACAGATACTCATAGAAGGCAGATGATTAAAAAACTTGGAAGGCATAAAAACTTACTAGAAAAATGTCAAAAAGATATGTCAACATTAGATATGAATATAACCATGAAAGAAATAAAAACAGTATTGAAAGGGACAGGATATTCAGCTCCAGGGGAGGACCAATTATGCTACGCTATGTTTCGACAGATTCCGGAAGTAACACTGAAATTAATATTAGAATTATTTAATAAAATATGGAAAGAAGGATCAATAGCAAATAGTTGGAAAAGGGCAATAATTTTACCATTTAATAAGCCAGGTAAAGATCCTACCTGTCCAAATAATTTCAGACCAATTGCTCTTACCTCTCATTTAGGTAAATGGATGGAGAAAATAATAGTTAATAGATTAGGAAACTTTCTGGAGAAGAATAATCTAATAAATGGATATCAATGTGGATTCAGAACAGGAAGATCAACAATGGATGCTCTAACTAGAGTCAGTAATGACATAGAGAAAGCTTTAAAAATGAAGGAAATAATGATTATAGTATTCTTTGACATAGAAAAAGCATATGACTCACTATGGAAAGAAGGATTACTTATAAAAATGAAACAGATGGGAATAGGTGGGAGAATGTATAATTGGATAGCTAATTTTCTGCTAGATAGAAAAATAAGAGTAAAAATTGGGAATGATTATTCAAATTAATATAATGATGAAAATGGAATACCTCAAGGTAGTGTAATTAGTCCAATTTTATTTAATATTATGATCAATGATATTTTCTATGATAATGATAAATGTATAAAATCTGCACTATATGCAGATGATGGGGCCATATGGATGAAAGGGAACAATATTAAACATGTGGTAGAAAATATTAAAAAAGCAATTAGTAAAGTAGAAAAATGGTCTTATGAATGGGGTTTCAAATTATCAGCAAGCAAGTCTTGTTATATGGTTATCACAAAGAAGAGAAATATTAATATAAAAACAATAACATTATATGGACAGACTTTAGAAAGAGTAACAGAATATAAATATCTAGGTTTATGGTTGGACAGTTCTTACTCATGGAAAACACATATAGATAACATAGAAACCAAGTGTAAAAAAGTTATTAATCTGTTAAAGGCTGTGGCTGGAAATAATTGGGGGGCAGATAGACAGTCAATATTAAGCATATACAGGGCTCTCATGAGAGCAATAATAGATTATGGCAGCTTTATATATGGAGCAGCAGCTAAAACATCATTACAAAAAATAAAAAGATTACAGTGTAGGGCTTTACGTATATGTACAGGAGCAGTAAAAACAACACTTATTAATGCTCTCTTAATTGAAAATGGGGAAACTCCACTGGAAATGAGGAGAATTAAATTAGCGCTAGCATATTGGATGAAAATGAAAAGTAATATAGATGATCATGTGAATTCTAATATTTTACAAAATTGTTGGGAATATGTGAAGTTCCAAAGTAATGGATTTGGATGGATGGTTAGGAAATGGATTAAAAAATATGGATTAGAAGACAAGGAAATGGCTCAATTCAACCCAATTAGCGTTATTCCTCCATGGCTAATACCAGAGGCTAATGTAGATTTGCAAATTAATACAATGAAAAATGATTGGAATTTAAATGAAATAGGGATAAAGACTGATATTTATTTAAGAAATACATATAATAATTACCTTAAAATTTATACAGATGGTTCTAAGAATCTAAAAGGATATGTGGGAATAGGAATATATATTCCAGAGTTTAAAAAATGTATTTATAAAAGAATATCAGATCAATTGTCGGTGTTTACAGCAGAAATGGTGGCAGTTATATTAAGCTTGCAATGGGTGGAGGAGATTCGACCAATCAGGGTGGTGGTGTGCACAGATTCTAAAGCAGTAGTGGAAAGTATTAAGGGAGAAGGAAATAATAGAAAAGATTTGGTATTAGAAATTCATCATATTTTATTTAGATTATATAGGGGTGGCATTGATGTTTGGTTTTGTTGGGTGCCAGCACATAAAGGAGTAAAAGGCAATGAAAAGGCAGATCAATTGGCTAAAAGGGCTTTAGAGGGGGAAATAACAATTTCAATTGCTTTTGGGAAAGGGGAAGGGAAATCACTTATTAAAAGTAAAGAAATGGAGGAATGGCAAAAAATATGGAATGAAGATAAGAAAGGAAGAAGATTATATGAAGTGGATAAAGTCAGTTTGAATTCAAAGCATTAATGAAAGAAACAGAAGAGAAGAAATAATAATTAGTAGATTAAGAATAGGGCATACCTACTTAAATGACATACTTTATTTAATAGGGAGGAAAAATAGTGATAAATGTGAGAGATGTGGAGAAAAAGAAAATGTAGAACATATACTGATGAACTGTAAGTCATATGAACTGGAAAGGGAAAAATTAAAGAGAATAGTTGGAAGTATAGGGCATGAATGGAATCTTAAAGGTATATTAGGAAATGAAGGAAACATAACAGATATTTATAAATTAAGGAAAGAATTGTTTATTTACCTTAAGAATACAAAATTAAAGAATAGAATATAATAGATGTGAAGTAATGATGCTACACACTCATGTACAGTAGGTGGCGGTATGCACCTAAAAGTTGCTTGTGATCCGCCATAATAGAAAAGAAGAAGAAGAAGAAGAAGGAACCACATTGACAGGCTTTTACCCGATCGGTCTCTGACACCAGATATCGTAGTGTTGACTTGTGGTGGTATTTTGCATCTACCTTTAACATAGATACTATACTTGATTCTAGTGTGTAAACATGTCGGCACGTAACCCTGGTACAAACCTCGGTAAGTGAAACAACTTTAAGTCGTTTTTGCGCTGTAGTGACTGATGTTTACTGGTTAGTTCCTTCAAAAACACGTATCTGAATGCCTGTCGATTAATCAGTACGTACACATTATACGATGTTCAACAGCCAGTTAAAAGTAAATTAGTTTGTAAAGGTACAAGACTTAAAAAGTTGCGAATTCTTAAAAGAATGTGCAACAGAGGTCTCTGACATAGCGAACGTTGAGTTATATAATGTGAAATTCGGTTAAGCAAAAGAATAGATATCCTGTAACGAAAAAGTTGTTCAATTAAGTTTAGTTGAAATACTAATTCGCACATTGTTATAGCACTTTTTGTCGTTATTTTAGCTTCTGACTGTCGTAACAGTCTGACCTCCTGATGAAATAGTAACTAGATTCTCGTGATAGCCCATGTTTACCAGCTCAGCTAATTGGTCAGCACTGGGTTAACTTTATGGCGTTAACTGAATGCTGACGTTTTCGGATGACGAAAAGACGTAGCTGGCAGGGAATTGACAGTTGCTGCAATAACTTAAAAAAAAAAAATCAATTAAGAAACCTTTTAGAAGCCATTCTTGTACTGTTTTATTTTCTCTCCCTGCACCAAGAAAAAAAGAAAAAAATATGCTTGTTTCAGTGACCCTTTTTAAGGATGAATTTGTGCGATATTTATTCAATGACTTTGTATTAGGCTATTAAAAAGTGAAAAAGAAATCGTCAATGGATAGGATACAAATTTAAGATAAAGATAAATGCCAAGAAGAAATTTCTTAGAGGTTTCAAAATGAGGTATACTTGATCAAGCAAATTATTGGCAGGGAGTCATATCTTGTATTCCACTCCGAAGCCACTCCTTTAAATGACCTGTGCCTATTTTAATTATTTCTGTGATCATCAACTTGTTAATGCCTATTACATGAACCAACACTGATTCGACGCCTTGATTTGGCCGTATGTTGTTGCTCTGATGTCCTCATTTGTATTTCATGCTTTTATTCCGTATAATGATGACCATGACATGGTTAACCCATCTTTCTCTTAGTACCTCTTAGGTAATGGTAAACCAAGGCTAAGTGGGTATTAAAGGAAAACCCAGATAACTCTCTGAAAGGCTGAGTTTTGGTCACAGGCTCTATGGTACAAATGACTATAACACTGTCTCTTGAGAGGAGAGACTGTGCTGCATTGAAAGTGCTAGGAAGATGATAAATGAGAGACCTTCCCCTATTGAAAGTTGTTGTTTCTAGTTGCACTGTACTGCATATACAATGCCACTCAGTTTGTATTTGGATGTTTTGTCCTTTGGGGAAGCTAGTCTCTGTCAAATAGTGTTAGGTTTGAAGTGTACAACAATATAATGTTTGGAGCAAACTGCCTTTTAATGTTGGCTTGTGTATTCAGTGTAGGGAAATCTGATTTATTGATTGGTCACAAAGCCATCCTGGATGGCAGGCTTGATTGTGCTTCAGGTAAAAAGACTATTAATTGTTGATCATAGGCTGTGCTAAGACTAGCTAATTCACGCTGGTCTTAGTGATCCCTGGAACATGTTCGCTCCTTATTCTCTTATTTGCAAAGTCCGCCAGCAGTGCCATTGCATCCATCTCTGAGTAATAGGAACGAGTTTCACCACAGTATTGAAATGTTTTCAACTGTCAGTTTGACTGGCTGATTACTTTATCACAATTTATAAGTGTTATTTTTTTGGTACTCATCATTCTGGGGACCATTTGGGAGAGGAATATGATGGTGAGAATACTTTGGTGACATGTGATGCGGACATTTGA